GATGATGAAATAAGTAACATATTAGTGGCTAAAAGATAAACTTGAAATTGAACTGTTGTGTCTAATATATTTGGATTACAACAAAACTTATACCTTAATTTAATGATATAATATATGGGTATTTTCAGTATAAACAAATAAGCATGTGTGTCCAATGTGATTCCATGATGTAATTAGAGATTGTTAATAAATTATGATAAAAAAATATGTTAGAGTCTAAAAAATGGAAATAATAAGTGCAATGTGTGAAATATATTAATACTAACTGACATCAGTGTGTTGATATTATGGAGTTATTATCATTACAGGGACAATGGTTTGTCAGGTACCATGTCAATCATTCTATATTTAACACTATTTCAACAATTATCTAGATAAATATATACATTATTATTATATCAATTGTCTGTACTCTACTTTAATGTTTCTGAATAAGGTTATATATATATATATATATATATATATATATGAAAACATGAATTTGCAGTAAACGTGACCTCTTCACTGACAGTTATTGCACTCTACAGCGAACATGCTACTCAGATAATAGTACACATGTTTCTCAGATTAAAAAAAAAATCTGTCCACTATAATTACCGTAGAACTATGTTCTAGAACTTGCCAATCAAAACAGGGTACCGTAGTTACATTTTTTGATATCTCTTTCTCAAAAAGTAAGCAAACACCAGGATCCTCTACCTTGTTTTTTTTTTTTTATTATTTCCAAGTCAGATTCAAAGTCAGTGTTAAAGAATTGTAATTAAATGTGCTGATTCTATGTTGTCTTTTAATCAGGTTGCCAGTCATTTTGATATCACGTTGATCTACTTAAATTATAATTTTAACTTTTTAGCACTAACAAGAAAACTCTTTACTTAATTGCAAATAAGATATAGAGTCGAGTCAGAAAGGGTGAAATCAAAGGGCGTAGATATGTACTTTAAAACTTATGAATTATGAATTAAATGGTTCTCTTACTGTTTACTTAATGTTTGATATCAGTTAAACTTAAAGTTTTCCATATCATTTTTCAAAATATTAGAACATGGTAATATTTATCAGTAGAAAAATCTGCTGTCACCTCTGACAGTCACAGTATGTTGATTTAATGATAGATAAACCAAGATTTACTTTTTCAATATAACACTATTGTTACACGAAAATGAGCTTTTTAGCCATTATCTTTTTAAATAGATATAAAATATTTAAAACTGGCTGAGAAGGGTGAAATCTATCGAAATAAGGGACAAACACAAGTTGAAAGTAGGTTGAATAAGCCTATATAAATAATAGAAGTAAGTGACGTGCTTGGTGTGATGTATGGATTAGATTGATAAATTGGTGTAGTAATAAACTAGTAAGATATCTGACAGTAACTGACATGTCGTCACTATATTTATTGTTATATGATGTATGATATACTGACTATATGACATGAATTCCCAACAAGAATCTAATATTTTATTATCTATTCCATGTTTATTAGAATATATGTCATTGTATGTAATTGGTAATTGACCAGTATTAACCCTGTTGAACTCATAACATTGATCAGTGTTCCTTAATACATTATTCTAATTGGTTGATAAAGCTAACTTTAAAATTGATTCAGTGAGTGACCATTCAGATGACTATTATAATGAGATTGTGAACCAACCCTAGTTTAAGTCTAAATGAGTTAAGTGAGCTTATCAGACCAATTTATATATATATTTTATTGTTCACCAACTATAATATTGAACTTATTTTGTCACTACAGTAATTAATTAAGGGTGGATCTGAAAATTAATAACAAAAAATAAGATCCTGTCTAAATTATTTTATGACTTTCTTCACCTGATTTTACTGACAAATAAAAACTAACAAGGTCAAATGTCATTACTGTTGAAAGACGTGAAATTTTTCATTCCTTTGAGTTACTTCTCACTTTAAATCTTCTTACATTGTCTGAGATTCCGAACGGGAATTTTGTAGCGTTTGGTTCACATTGGATATTTTTTTTTTTTTCAATGAGAGCTCAAACAATTTTATTTATTTTTGTCCAAATATTAGAATCTGTAACTGAAAAAGTACGAAAGATGAGTGAACACCAAATAAGAGGAAGTTTTTGTCATTTTATTATCAAATGTATATGTTCAGTCATTTAGTAACATAATACTCCTTTTACACCTATGAATGTTATCTGTAAGTCTGTACCAAACCCTTACCCTTGTAAGGTGTGTTACATGAAAATCCCTTCCAAGTCACTTTCATATTATCAAGTCTGTGAAGGCTTAAAAACATGCTATTAACGATAAAAAGTACCAGGATTTGGTAAAATTTGTCTAGGTTTTGATTAATTTTCATCCCATTGTTCTTTGATCCAAGCAAGTGCTACTTGCTAATATTAAGTTACGCATGTATTTCTCTTAACAAATCCTCACACTATAAAAGGGGTAATGGTATGAAATAGTGAAATATGCAAAATCAACCAGCCATTGAGTCTGGTGTTAAACTGATACTGATTACTTATCAAATTATAATAAACAATTCCCATGAAATATCTCAATATTGGCACTGAAATCTATCTCCTTTATGGCTGACATCATGTTTTAAAAAATATAGTAGTTATTACCAATGTTAACTGTAACAAGGCCAATTAACTGGAGTATTTTGTCAATAATTAATTTGTTTATCACTCAAAGATGTAATAAGTGTGTCCTTGACCTTATGACAGGGTAATATTAGCAGGTGATGATAATATTAGCTGACCCCTGACCTTTGCCTGCTGTCAGTAGTATTATTAATGATATTATGATTTGGCTACTGACAATATCTCCTATTTCAATCTCTACATCATTGAGACCCTAGATCCTGTCCAAATAATCTCTGCAGGGAGAGCGATATCAACCAAATATTGTATAGTGTCCAACCCAGCTTGAACCTACTTAATTAAAACTAATATATTGGCAAGCAATGGCTTAAGAATGGTTCCTGGTTATTAGAGATTACTTAGAATCAGTTCAATTTCATAAAATATTATTTCATTGTATGAAAAATAGCTGGCCTACTTTAATGGTTGTCTATATTAGCTTGTCAGTGTCACAAACAATAGAATTATTGAATAACACAAGTATGGTTGTTATTTGAAAATAGGAAATAGTAATAAGTCAATAAAGGAAAACTAGCTAGAAGCAGTAAAATAGTTTGTCATATTATATTGCATGAGATATAAGTAGAAAGAGTTCATTAAGATGTTAAAGAAAGTGTAATTTATCTGACAATTAAGACTAGGTCTATATTTACTAGATTCTACCTGGTGTTTTCAGACTAAGTCTATTATTAATACTGAACAGCTATTCTGGTAGAGCGACAACCAGTTATTTTTGGATTTGATGACTTGAGTGGTTAATTTGCCATTGAAAAACGGTGCTTGATATAAAATTAGATACCTGATAACAATATAAATCATTCTTTTGCTTGTTTATTATTCTCATTAAATATAAATGGATGAAGAGATAGATGGCTTGGCTGTGATTTCTTTCACTGCAGTTCCTTTTTATTACAAATTGTGTTTTTTTTTCAAAAGCTTTTCTGAATATTAATATTTAAGTCTAAGATGAGACGTTGTTATTAGAAGATAAGATGTAAAAGGCAACACCATCTCTAAGAAGCACAGGCTTGGGAATCCAAAGATTTTTATTTCCTTCAGGATTGTGCAATTTATCAATAAAAGTGTCCCCCTGTCTCTTGAATTATGCTATTAAATTTAATAAGATTATTAGATGTCTTTTTTGGAAAGATTATGTTTACTTATAAAGAAACAAGATTAGTTATATATAAACTGAAAGAAAATTTAAATGATTGTTGTATTTAACGCTATTGAATGAACAATATATTATCGATTGGGACTATCTATTGTAAATATATATATAAAGGTATTGAGAGCTATATTTAGTAAGATATTGACAGTTCCCTGGGATATTTATAGAGGTCTTATTTCCGTACTGTAAATAACATGTAGCTCTTCCTACACAGTCTTGTTCCATTGACACACGTGTATGATTCTCTATAGATTTGTAAGTCTCTATTACCATCAATGAGTGGATAAAGGTGTTGCTGTCACAGAGCTATCATAGACAGATTGAACATTTATCAGTCATTTGTGTCTTAAAATTGTGTGCTTGGCACATTTAAACATAATAGAAGTACTTTAGGTTCTTTATATGCTGCACCAAAGGAAAGAATGAAAACAAAACAAACAAATTTACAAGAAAACAGAAGATTATCAGCTTGTCCTTTTCAATGATTGATTATCTTGATAATCTCTATCCTAGTGCACTTCTAGGGTTTTTAGTTACTGACCCTGATTAAGTCACAGTGTGTTAAAGTCAGATTTTCAGTGGATGCTTGAAGCTACATGTTTCACCGGGTTGAGTGAAACTTTCTATGTCTATAGCCCCGTTTACACTAAAAGTATAATCTGTTCTCAGAACTGTTCTGATGAAAATCTAGTAGTGTAGGCAGTAGAGCGTTCCGCAAACTGTTCCAATACGAGACTACAGAGGGAAGATGTTTGAACAGTTCTATGAACGGAACAGATGAAATTTTGTAGCATTCTAATGTAAACTGGGCTTAAGACAACTCAGATGAATATGATGTGTTTTAAATTGCCATCATGGGTGTGGTCATGTTATTTTGATGTGTAAGCTATATTTTAATGCACAAAGTTTTATTGAAGTGTTATTACTTATATTATATATTTTAATGAATGAGTAAATTGATAAAGTTTCAATAATTAATGAAGTATAAAAGTCATAGTTTTAATTGATGATATTTTCAGGTGTATTATAAACAATAGCTACCTTCATCAATTATTATAGTCAACAATCTTTTCTTTACTTAGATTCCTCCGTCAGTAGGTGTTGATGGATCTTTCTTTGATTGATCGAGTGCAATACCTGTTTTCATATGGATAATTTGTTTGTTTTTTTTACTTCAATCAATATTCTAGTCTAATGATGATATTTGTGAAGATCATTCAGGTACAATTCAAATTATTAACAAGCTAGTTTATTTTTATATTTGTTGAAAAGTAGTGTTGTGTCATTGACAATTTCTTTGACCTTTTATCACTCATTCACATTTTCATCAATTTTATTCACTCATTTATTAATGAAATCAGTTTATCATATAAATTATTGATCCATAAAAATTGGAGTTGGCACTTCATGGTAAATAATGAATAGCATACAAATATGTGTATTTAATATAAACATGGATCTCAATAATTTATTAATTATCATTTATCATTAAATCATTAAATACAGATCCTGATATCACAAAAAATGATTAATATGTCTTGGAATGTTGTTGTCTCAGACTTGCTCTTCGGCTTGTAAAATTACATCAATCACTTGACGAAGTGGTTTCAATTTTTGGTATCAAGTCTCCTTCATAGCGTGCTATGTATTTTTTGACTTAATTCAATCAGTGTTATTTGTGAGTACTACTATTGATTTGATTCTGATTTTAACTCTAGTAAGAATCAGAATTGTCAAATTACAACTATGTTGTATTGACTCATTACAGTGAAACATCTGGTGGCTGGTATATTTCTGCTGTCTTCAGCAATATTTGACTATTGATTGTATTGTTTGTTACAGATGTGTCTTCATTTAGATAATTTATTATTTACAGGCTATACTTTAGATCTGACAAATATACCAAATAAACAGTTTAAGATATGTGCTGTATTTGACAGTTTCAGGTGCTCAAGAAGGGTGATCATGACCTGTCTTGTTTATGTCATCTTCTACAGTGCCTAAATTAGTGGAGCACAAATTCAATAATGTCATAATGGACTCGAGAGCTATAGCTAAAAAATTAAAAAAAAATTAACTCTCATTCTTGTCGATCAGCAGTCAGCCGTCATTTACTAAAAAGTAATTTATACGTTACGACTGATTATATGACAAAAACAAGCAGAAGTATTCTGCAGACATGTCATTTTCTTTTAGACTGACAACTGGTAAAGTTCCATTAAGATGTCTATAGATTTACTATAAAAATAAGATAAGATTCAGTCTACCAGACTGGTTGATATTTCACCTGTTATTTTTATTACCTATTAGACCTATACTGTGTCAAGATATCAGTATTTCTCTCTTAGTTAGTTTTCTACTGGTATGTATGTCAACTAGACTATGTTAAGAGGCAACAGATGATGTGATAATGTTACTTAATTTCTAGGTAAAAACATTACAGATAACATCACACCTGCTTTCTCACACCTATTTTTTTCTCACTCAGATCAAGAGATTGTCAAATAATGATCAAGAGACAAAGTTTCATTGCTATCAGAATACTATTATTTTACGTTATTCTGCCTGGTGTACATCAATCGCATGAACTCATTTGTATGACGGCTTATCTTAAAGGTCAAGGCTTTCTACCACTTGCATGTCTGTATGTATATATAGAAGATTCTCAAATTGTGTTTCTACTGTACATCTCTCTCTCAAACAACATTCATATATAACAATGCTCGGAAGTAGGCTATGTATTGAAACAATACTGAAATTAAAGATGAAAACAATGATATGAAAGATATATTATATCTTGATAGGTGTTTGTCTATTATTTACTAAGGTCACAATATTTCATATATATATGAATTCAAATCCATTAGAAAGCATTATAAATTTTTCACCTGACTGAAGATGTATTGACCACATTTCGTGATATTGACACAAACTGTTTTATTTCTTAACTGTCATTTATCTTTTGACTTAGATCTACTAGAACTCAAGAAATCCTGTGGAGAAACTTGAATAAAAAAGTATTGTCTTATAATTTTCTGGAATTGATAGTGAGCATTCTTTTGGCATCCACCTTAATTAAAAAGAATACGATTAAATCTTGTGATATATTTTCTATGATAATAAATTTCTCACTTGTGACAAAAATATTTCTCATGTTAACTGAATTAAGTAAAATGTAATCGTTTTTTGAATGCAAGTCTTGACTGATTTAGAGATATAGGTGCTGTCTCACTATTTAGGAGTTGATTGTTTTATACTGATGATGATGAATATAGATTGACACATGACAGGATATTAATCAGCACTAAGGTCTATTATTGATGTCTATAGTATCAAGAGTGAATTCAGTGAATTTGTTAGAATTTGTACCAATATCACATTGTTGATGCTTGACTCATCTTTATCCTTGTTACACTTTATATATGATTCATTTTCTGTGCTCTTCTGTAATGTGACCCTTCTAGCACTCATATTGATCAGTACATTCTTCTTTACTTTTCAATGAAATATTACCAGTTTAGGTAAAGCCCATAGCTTATATCTGTTGTTGATATCTTCTTTAAAATTATAGCAGCAATTATAGCACCAGTATTTTATTGGTTTGTTTGTGATTAATCAATACAAAATACATGACAATGCTTGTGTTAATTACATATAATAAGCATTGTAACAAAATGACAAGTACCAATCAAATTTTAAAATAAAAAAATAGTGTCTACACGCTGACATGATAGTTAGAATGTTAGAATTTATCAAACACAATCACAGGTGAAATACAAAATACAAGCACGAAACCTATAAATGAAACCACTTTTTAGTGATAGTGATGTCTGACTTCTGAAAATAATATAGGCAAAGAACCACATCTAGAATTAAAGCTAAATTAAAAACAAAAAGTTAATTGTAATATTATATGTATTAAATATCTGACATTTGGAATGTGTAATTTGTTTTCTGGCCCTGTTGTCTTATTGATTATTACAATACAATCCTTCCAGTGGTTGATTTAATTCTTGTGTGCACTGTGTAAGTACCTTTCTGATCTTGCATTAGTAACTGCTCTATTTAATGAGAAATGGAGGAGTGATTGCTGGGAGTATTCCCCTTTCATCTTTCATTCACTTTGATAATTACAATTTTTGGATCAGTTTTAATGATCTTTTCATCATGGCTTTCATATATAGAACATAAAAAAACATAATATCAAACATTAATTTTAATCCCACAGTATAAGTAAGTGCTCTAATTGGTACACGGTAATTACAAATATACAAAATAACATTGTTAAGTGTAATATGACCTGAATCTGTCCCTCAATAAGATATCAGCATTACCCTTTGACAATAGTTCAGTTTAATTTGAGGAATTATCATTTTATTTTGCAGTAGTCATGGTTCGAGTAAAAAAGAAAAGGAAAAAGCTCGTTTTGAAGCTCAGAAACAGAGAGCAAGACAAGTTCAGCAGAAACCTGATATTATTACACCATCCTTTCCACTCTTTGGTGCTCCTAAAAAGGTAGTCATTTAGATATTGGAACCTTCAATTCTGGAAGCATATAGAGGTTGAAGTAGCTGACATGAATAAAGCATAAATTGACTTAATGCTGACTGAAAAAATAAAATCTACATGTAATTTATAAACTTGAACAGTTCAATTTCAGTGTTTTTACTGACTATCTAACTTTTTTTTAAGTTTAATGTCATATTTGAAGCATTTTTTGTCCTCAGTCTTAGAGCTGTTTTGACTGATTATATTTTGAATTCTAGGTTGATACACCTGATGAATCTAGTCAAAAAATCCAGCGTGTCTTGGGTAAATACAATGAAGTAAGACCGTTTGAAAATACAGGACCAATCATAGGGGTATCACCATCTACACCATCAACCCCTGTAACTGCTGACCCTAAACATGGATTCTTCTCATCTGGATCACATCAACGTGTAAATGGTCAACATAAACAATCAGACAGTTCGGGACGAAAACCAGATCCTAATCGGTCATTCAATATTCCAAATGCTCATTCCAGTAGTCGGGAGTCAGCCTCCAGTAATACAAGGAAAAGTTTACCACATTTTCAATCCACTTCTTCACATCCTAGTCATGACAAGTCTAAATCTCGTTCTCCTGTCAAAGTCCATCCCTTCTCTCATTCCTCACCAGCTAAACCTGCAAACCCACGACCAAGTGTCAGCCCAGTGACTACCTGCACTCAAAAACCTAAAAAGTTGTCATTAGATTCCTACCGAGCTGCCCTGGATGCATCTAATAATAAATCTTCTTCCCTCAATACTTCAACCATATCACAAGATTCAAAATCACCCACCGATCACCAGCAATCTACTCACAAGTCAATGAAGCCATCTGGAAAGGGACCAATGTCTCCACCTAATGGTATTGTATCAGAGAATGCTAGATCTGGAGTACGTCCACCTAAGCTTGTCATACCAGATACAGTAAGTCTCTTTTAAACAGCTAATAATGTAAATTAGAATGTTTAATATCAGGTGATCAATTTAAATATCATGTAGCCATAACTATATCCATCCCAATAGCCCAACTTCTTTTATTCAAGTGTTCTATGATAGTTTTGGCGACAAGATATTGAAATGGACCTGGAAATTTGTCTTCAGATGTGAACTGAATAGCACCTCTGTTTAATTTGAATCATCCCCCTTATACATTCATATACTTGTGCTGCATCCATTCTCAAAATTTCATTTTTTTAATGGTATGAACAAAATTTTAAATCCAGTTGGGACATTGCAGATCCTGCTTTCTAATTGCAATTAAATGTAATGGTGTCATTAACTCTTATATTTTGTTTTACAGCAGAGTAAGAATGCTGACATCCTTGATGAAATATTCAATGTAAGTTGACAATTTTTCATTTCAAATTTTTGAATTGTGATGCTTCTATTGATGGCTTTCTTTTATATGACCTGAACAACATGCTAGATCTAAGATTGTATGCATCACTGTACATGTTCATATGCATTAATCAGTAATATAAGTATATAGCTGAGTATCATGTTAACAATCATTAGATATTTATGAAAGTAATTGTTATCCATAACAAAGTGTCAGATTATGAAACTGAAGAAAGTTGAATTAAGACAGTGGATGCCAATTGTATCAATATTTGAATAGACTATTAGTATCAGATTCCCCACCCCCATACTTGTATACAATTTCATTCATAAGATATTTTATTGATAAAAAAAGATGTTTGAACATTTCCTCACACCTGTCTTCATTATATTAACGTCAAACTTTTCACCAAACACAAATATTACACTTCTCCTTTTAAAATATCATGATAGATTTTTTTAGCACAAAACTTATCTATATTGTTCTGTCAGCTTTTTTGTTTTCATATATATTACTGTGATTAGTAAGCGAAACTAGACTTGCTTACTTTACTGGATGCATTATTTTGATCATCTTTCTACTATTGTCAAGAGATCTATGCATGCTCATTAAAAATTTCGCATAATTGCAGGATGCTTTGTCGTCTTTATGTGTGTCAATGTGAAAAAATTGTATAATTTATATATTTACTCTATGTGAATACACAACAACCTTTTCATCTTAGGTTGTCACTTGAGTTATCATTAGATCAATAATTTCCACATACATTTTACTGTCGTCTGTTACTAAGCAATACTATTACTGATAAAAGTGCATTCAAAATGTTATGTTTGATCAGACAAAAGATATGAAGAGATGCAAGGTTTATATTGATTTAATATTGGATGACAAACATTATAAACTTTTGAAGAATTTTATCCTCATATCTTACAGTTATGACATCACATAATATACTCATATCCAATTGTTGAAAGTTAGGTTCTGGACATATAGGCACATATTCATTTAAGCATACTCTTTTTAAGCACATTCATATTCAGAAAGACTCCATCGTTATATGTTTGAAACATAAAAGAATGTGCCTAATTGAATGTGTAGCTACTTAAAGGTCTGAATCACTGTGCCTGAAAAACACTTTGCCTAAATGACCTGTGCCTTACTGACCAAGTGCAGTGATTTATGCCAAATCGTGAGTTATCGTTGTATGGTGGTAGTTGACTCCTCTAAAGAGAAAGTAGTAGATCTACAATGATATAAAGTTATTATGAATTTCAACCTACCAGTTGATGATAGACTACATGTAATAAAGTGTATTAGTTCACATAATAAAGGATTGGCCTCAACACGAGACCGTATCTATCTCCTGATATCACTATTATTAGGTCTTGTTACTGTCGACTTGAAGCACTCTTCAAACTTCACCTTACTTTTATACTCTCCAGTTCATTCAGTACTTTCACTAGACTATTATTTTACATCTTTAAAATTTAAATTGTTATAACAGGATTATTATCCAAAATGAATTTTCCAATGACTATTAAAATGTTATCAACCGTTTTACAGCCACATACATCCTTGGTGTAAATGAGCTCTAAAAATTATTATATTTGAATCAATCAGTCTCATTTGAATCACAAATAGCCTTCATTCATTTGATTCATCTTAGAACTTTTGATGGTTCCCTTGACAGTTCTATATCAAAAGAGAGAGCTCTCCTGACTACAATTGGAAATTGTGGAAAGAAAAGTGGGATGTTAAAATCCAATTAAATTTTTGCTAAAATAGATGTAAATATATAATTGAACTGAACCAAATATTTAATAAGTAAGTTTTAGAAAAAAACTCAGTTAATATAGCAGAATATTGAGTAAGACAATTGAATCTATTAGTAAGTTCAATCAGTACTGTAAGTGCAAGATTTTCTTTTAAAGCTAATATTGCAGACAAAGGTTAATTATAAAATGTCTAGGAAGATATCCTATATATTTCTCTTTATATCATTAGTCTGTGGTTAATATTTTTTTATGTTGAAAATCAATAAATTGACATTGTTTTAATAATGAATAATTGACATAATATATATATTATATATATATATATACTATTGATGTAAGTTCTATCACATTTGATTTTCAAATGATGATGCATAATGGAATAGAAGAAATCAATCTGATTAAAATGCGTATCTGAATGGTTTTTTCGGTAGGTAACTCTACAAGTGGACAAATTGCAATGCATGTGCGGTTTTGGGTCATTAAGTATTCAACCAGTTAGATGCTCTGTGAAAAAAAGGATTTATTTTGTGAGAACTTCTGGGTTAATATCTGTTAATATTGAATTATATTGTGAACCTTTTTAAATGGAAAAAAAAAAGTTTGATTGTATTAGCATATATGACAAGTTTGGACGATATTGAGTAGAAATTACACAGAATAATTTTAATTTGGAATAGATTAGATATCATACAGATGTTTGACAAGATGACTGATGATATATGTGGGTGGGTGGGGGTATACTACCATTGATTTCTGGCAATTTGGTGATTTTCAACCTAAAACAAATAAAATAGTTGTAACATATATATATGTATTTATAGACATAGACACATTGACATTACATACATTAATATAAGCATTGTGTCTACACCTTACATATATACTTGGCTATATTCCAACACATGTGGTAGCCATTCCATTCATTTCAATCTAATATTCATTCTTATGGATCTCTTCTCTTTCATTCATTTCTGTCTGTCTCTATTTGAATCACAATCAATTGTAATGCTTGTCCTTAAACATTTACTCAATAACCTAACGTATACAAAGTTGTAAAATTAAGAAAATCTATTGAATGGCAATTGCCAAAATTCTGTCAAAGGACCAGCAAAATTTCCATCTTCACAATGTCAAGCTATTATGTCTTATATCTTGACTGCCAAACAGGTCACTATTGCAGTCAAGGTATAAGTACGAAGTTCATAATAGCTTAACATTGTGAAGATGGAAATTCACTAGCTCTGTCACTTTTGCCAATTCCGAGTCAGAAGAGACTTACAGCCAATACACTTAATACTCTACTTAATAATCAAAGAACAGACAAAGAACAGGCATCAGACAACACTGACAAAGAACAGACAAAGAACAGGCATCAGACAACACTGACAAAGAACAGACAAAGAACAGGCATCAGACAACACTGACAAAGAACAGACAAACAACAGGCATCAGACAACACTGACAAAGAACAGACAAACAACGGGCATCAGACAACACTGACAAAGAACAGGCATCAGACAACACTGACAAAGAACAGACAAAGAACAGGCATCAGACAGCACTGACAAAGAACAGACAAAGAACAGGCATCAGACAACACTGACAAAGAACAGACAAAGAACAGGCATCAAACACTTTGTCAAAGAACAAGCATCAAACACTTTGTCAAAGAACAGGCATCAAACACTTTGTCAAATTATGGTCATGACCATTAGATAAATGACCAGCTGATAAATTGACAGTCAACCACACTACAGGAAACTACAGGAAATAGTATTACAATTGCACAAGCAACTATTCTTGTAGAAGTCTAATTTCAGCTATAGGAATTGTTCTATACATTGTATAATTGTTGGTAATGAATCAGCATTGAGTCTTATAGATGAATGATTAAAGCAAATTAAGATATTGATTCATCTAAGACTAATCTGATTATATAACATTGTTCATTCTTGTTACAGGAGATGACCATACAACCACCTTTAACTGGAATTCATACACCACGAAAAACTGAGGATAAATTTCCTTTCCCTACCACAACTGCTCCTGTCACTACTCATAAGGTAGGTCTTGGTCATAAATTATATATATATATTATTGTTACTGATCAAGGACATACATTGGGAGTATAATATCTATTGATGCTTTCTATTTCTCAACCTAATGACGTTCTCATCAGAGCTAAACTACTGAGCTACAGCCCTCAGTCATGATATGACTTAAAAATTTATGAGTATCATAATTACTTTTCAGACTTCTAAAGTTGATGATGTACCTTTACCCAGTATTTCAACTGCAGGTAAGATTATTTTTTACTCACATAACTAAAGACCTTTTCATTCTCCTGAATTAATGACCATTCACATGAAAACAATCTATATTGAGATGATATAGTGTGGATGACCAAATTATAAGTTAACAGTAAACTATGTCTTCAAGCTATGTGATGGAATATTTAGGTTATATCATATATTAATCTTGTTAACCTCTGTAGAATAATAATTGACGAAAGTGGTTCCAAAAAGGCTTTCTAGCTCCTATATGTCTATTAGTGACATTCATAGTTTGAATTTGCCTTGTTGCAAATGGTGGTTACTGTAAATCCTAGACCATATTATCACTATTGCTTGAAAGGCTAGATTAACTTTTATTCCCTTTAAAAATAGGCACTTATACACCAGATCCTACACAACATTCTATGACAGGACTTTATAAATTGCATTAATTATGCATACTCGGTTATGAATATGGTTTGACAAAACATAATAGAACGTCCTCCAACGTTAAATTGTTATATTTATCTTTTGAAAAGTTGATGCTATAAACAGAGACATAAAGACAAGGAAAGAAAAGATGGCTATGCCTTGTAACTTATGATACCTTCCATAAACTAAGTCTGAATGAGGCATTTAAACTCTCACTATATTAAGAATAGTATTCTTATGCTTGGCAATGGAAAGACATGTTTTAAGATGTATTCACTTGATATAATGTTATGGAAATTATGTCAAGTCTGTTCAATGGCTGTGTTTCATTTTTTGGCCTATCTATTAAACTTTTATAGCTATATCTGTTAAATTTCAATGGTAAAATCAATATAAAGAAGAGTATAGGACAACTTTAGTAAGAAAATATGGTCTATATCTGACATACTAACACTGTCTGTACACTAGGTTAGAACAATATCATTACATTACATTATATAGTCAGCTAATAGTACTGTACTTTATGGTCTTCTCTTGAGATACATTTTATTTCATCACTTTATATGGGATATTTTTATCTATCAATTTGTTTGGATATTTTACAGTCTAAAATTTGTGGTAAACAGAATGTCAAAAATCCACAAAAAGTGCTTATTTCTAAAAAATTGTGAATGCCAAAAAAAGGTTCACAACAACATGAAAAAGAAGTAACATTTATTTTTTAATTTCAATCTTGAATGATCTATAATAATGCCTTTGATTAATCTTTGATCAAGTTATTTTACCTCAGCATTTCTTGTTTATAAATAGATTACAATCACACCAAGAGATACTGTGGTATTTTCAGTAATAACATAATAAGGGAGATAACTGTATTTATGAAGTAAATGACTGTTGTTTATTTTGACATTTGATTAAGATGATATTTAGAAGGAGGTCAACAAGTCTATTATTAGCTTGTTTACTTTCTTTAAATCCTGTGAATAAATTGCTATTATAGATAGATACAGTTACTATTAAAGAGATTGTATATTGAATAATGTTAGGTTATATATATCGGGTCTCTTCAGCTCTCGCATTCAGTAATTTCTTGAACTAGAGATTTTTCCTTTCACCTTTCAGCCTGATATTACAGTTCCTGCAGATTTAGAAATTCTTGTGCAAAATGATTCTTTATTATGAGTTTTGTCTTCAGATTTTTGACCCTTGATTTTAAAATCATTCTTACAATGCGTACAGAATCTGATTGGTCTAGAATTAAATCTTCAACTAATCAATCCTATAGTTTCAACTTGGATTAAATGTTGTCATGACCTTTGAAAGATGAAGATGATGTCTCATGCTATAATTTATTGATACTGATATTGATTACATTGTTATTTTTAAACTAGCATAACATCTTAAACATGATACTTTATATTTCCAGTACAGAGAAACTTAATAGTCTTTAACTTATATAATTCTCTTCTAATGCTTAATATTCTTAAGTTTAACAAACATTCACGATTCCAGTGCAAAATATCACCATTGAAATGGGTTAATAGAGATATTAGCATTTATAATTCTGATTTGATATTGACTCCAAAATTTTCATTGATGATTCATGGTCCAAATTAGATGCAAAATGCCTGAAAAAGAAGCATTGATAATTCTGAAGCCAAATTTAAGTAAGCCATGAGTGCAAGATCTTTGAAAAGTATAGTATATACTATATTGATAATTCTGAAACAAAAAGTGGACAAAATCTTTCTTTTATCATATGAGTTTTTGTTAGAACTAAAGGTGATAACCTTGTAACTTAAAATAGTCATTTGAATAGTCCCAATATGACAACAGTCCAGGATGTTGTTCTATATATCCCCATTCTTTCTTATTGATAATATAGTTTTGTTTGATTGGTTAAACTAGATTCATGTGAGTGTTTTACGGTTAGTTAAACACAAGTTAATCCTGTATATGTCATGAATAGAAAAACTTTTATTTGATATTGTATTTCTTTTAAAATAATAAACCATTTCCTTTTCTTCACAGTTGACATGTTTTCATTGGATGAAAAAATTCTTTGACAAATCTAAAATATTTCAGCTTTGACATGTTTCTAAAAAATTTGGAATATTTTTGCTGAGTTCCCATAAAAATGTTTCAGAACTAAGCTCAGGAATAAATATTTAAAAGGAATTTCAAGTTATTTTGTTTTGTTTTTTTTTTTTTTTTTTAGAAAAAATTGATTTTGAGTAAGAATAATACTGCAAGAACATTTACATTAGTTTTAAAAGAGTTATAGATCCAATGTGTATCTCAAATTGTTCGTGAAATCAAACATGTTTGATTTTTTTAAAATTGTTCGCTGTCTGCGTTAACCACGAACATTAGCGCCGAACATTTATCGACGAAAGACCAATCAGCGATCGAAGCCAGAACACATGACACTCAAAATCGCGACGTCCAGTGAATCCACCAACACAAAATTTTGGACTGTGGAGAAGGAGCAGATTTTAGTAGATATGTGGTCGCAATCTGCCTGTTTGTTTATGATTTCTTCGCCTGACTATTCAGATAGAAACAAGAAGTACACTGGGATGCAAGAAATAACACAAGCCCTGGAAACAACCGGTAAATTTACAAGGTTGCCGAACACACCCTGCTCTTTACGACGTTGAATCCGGGTACAAACCCAAATGCTCCTATTTCGCCGTCTACGTTGGCGTCTTTTTTAAAATTAATAATATAGCAAACGCAATTTTACATTTTCTTATGGACGTCGCCATTTTGAGGTCATGTGATTTTCGGTGGCACTGGCGTATTGTTCGAGCTAAATGTTCGTCGTCTGTGGAATTATGTTTGTCGTATGCGGATGACCGAAAACAAATATATTTGTTCGATGTTTTTGTTCGTCGACAGAAATGTTCCTCGTCTGCGTTGGGCTTAAGTATTCACCCTTTTGAAGAAATCAATAATGCTCTAAAGTCCTGTAATTTCGCTGTTATACATCAAACTAGCAAATTTTACAGAAAAGGATCAGATGACAAAATTGATAGAAATAAGGTTCAAAGACAATAAAAAGAGTTTTATTAGATTGGTGTCTGTGATAGAGTATAAGAAATATATAAAATAAGAGAAATTGAAATGAGAGTATGACCCAGTCTGATGTAAGATAATAAACTCAGTTATAACTGATATTTTTATTAACTAATATAGGACAGATAGTAATTGAAATTGTTAGAAATAGTAGCTGTTGTTGACAGGTGTCTGTGACATAAATATGACTAGTTACTTATACCATAGTGTCTTTACAACTTCTTTACAGGATATGTCATAGACATGACTTTTTAATATACTTTATTTATTATCAAGTGTCAATTTCAGTGGGTTGAATTATATCAAATTAATAAAGAACAATAAAATAACACTGGTTACTGGTTATTGTAGTGGAGCTCTGATAAATATCATAATCATATTTAAAACTGCAATAGTAAAACGTGTAAATAAAAATGTTAAGGCCAGTACCATTAAACTTTTAGAAAAGAAACAAACATTTTAACGTGGGTAGTTTTGATTTTGATATTCCTTCGATATTTTAGCTAACATGTATGTATGTAAAAACATGAGCAGGTTGATTATAGATGCCTTAAAACTCTTAGAGGTGTCTTTGTTTTATTGCTATACACAGTTCCAGGTATAAAGGCCAAAATTATTGAAGTAACCAATTCACCATCTTAAATTACCCGTGTCGTTAAAATGAAAGACGAAGATTCATTGTTGTGGTTGGTGAATAAATGTTCTATAAATAGATCTTTTTTCCCCACCACCAGTCTGTATCCTTTGCACAAAGCTAAAAAAATCTTGGGTATGATTATAGGATATCTATCTCATGATCATAATCTTGAAGGCTTCGACCAAACATTCTTGATGCTTTTTAAGCGTCTTAGCTGATTTCATAGGTCTACTTTCAATTTTTTTTGGGCCAATAATGTATCACGTGACGTAAACATTTACAGAAAGTACTAAATGTTGCAGCTTAATTCATATTTAAGTCATATTCAGTATATTAAAGTGAAAAATTTGTTTTTGAAAAAGACCCCAATTCAGGTGACCAGGATATTAGATAAAGTATTGTGGAACATTAGACTCATTGTCTCTCGCTGACATTCTTTCATGTAGATATTGTCAATGACATCATTGATGTTATTTTTTATGAAGTTTAATTGTAATATGGATGTGGTAATATTGAAAACTTTCATTTTATTTGTTCGCTTAAAATATATGGGACTCCCACACCAGATTTATTAAAAATAGTGCTTTGTTATGTATTTATCAGTACATATCATTATGTTTATGTTGATTTGTTGTTTACATAATTAATATTATTTTTATCTGTTTCAGAAACAGAAGTTAAAGATGATAAACCTACAGTAACTACCAGTGTCACAAAGTAAGTTTTCATTTAATTTCCAAATACTACCAAGCTTTTAATAACTAGTAAAACTCATTCTTGAAGGAATTTTGTGTTTTCAAGTGGAAGAAGGAATTAGTGTTAGATTATCAAAAATGGCAATTTTATGAAGGTGAGAAGATAAATAGGTCTGCAAGATGAATGTACAAACACAGTAATCGTAACTAACAGAACTACAAAACTCATATTACAGGTAGCTCTCTGTCCCCCCATTACCCCACCTCCATTCTCAATAAGTTAAAATGTAAATTTTGAATGAAACCTTATGATGGTCATGTTATGTTGCTGACTTTTGACATATTTAAGCTTTAAAGTAATATTTGAAGGTGAACTGTACTTGTAAATATTGTGAATTACTGTTAGATATTTTGTATTCCAATGGAGGATTATGTAATTCTCTAAAGGTTTCATTGTTGAAATTGTGAATAAATTTTAACTTTTTTATCAACTAGCTACATTTTGAAATATCTTGAATTCCAACTTTTTTCATGTTGACTTGCACTTTAATCATGATAAGTTTCTTATCAGTTGTCAAAGTTTCTTGACCCAAATACCTATTATTACTGTATAAGAGTATTGTACTATTGGGCATGGATGTTTATTAGAAATTTAGATACTGATACTTTAATGTAAACTCAAAAACACATTTTAATATATCACATCTACAAATTTTCAAAAGTTATTATTTTATGGAAACCCAATTTTAAATCTTTATTTGGTAGTTAATATCTATTATAAATGTATATATTCTGAATAATTAATTTAATTGATCTATATTTAATTCATCAATTCTTATGTTAGTGTGGTTATTCACACCCATAGGCTAAAAATAAGTAGGTCATAATATCATAACTTGACCTAAATGACTACTGGTTTCTACAGGTAGTCAAGAATGTATAATTATACTGTTTAAGGGCAATACCTAATATATTTCAACACTTGTGAAGAAAATTTTATGTTTTAATTTGAATTATTTTAACTTACTGTTAAATGTTGAACTGTTTATGACATCACTATTGCAAAAGCTGATTTAAATTAGATTTCAAGATTACAAAAGCTGCTATTTAATTATTTACTTAATTGCAAAGTCAAAATATTCATCTCAGCACAACTGATACTGATACTGCATTGAGCAGTAATTTTCTTAAATATCTTAAACAAATTATATATCTCAACAATAATATGTTCTATTCCACCAACTATTATTATTACTATTGTATTATGTTCTTTAGTACACCTAGTACGAACGAATCTGATATTTGAAAGATAAATTTTAATGGTTGTAAGTTTGCCAAAGATGTAACAGTTAAACTACAGGTTACAGAGTTTGTGTCGGCCATAAAGCTGTCAAATTTTTTCATCTGTCCATGTCAGAAGCCAGCCATTATATTATCGTTGATTTTAAGTAGTAAAACAATGAAATTCAAGTTTTTGGTATATTTCATTTCTTTTGTGACATTGAATTGGCAGCTAGCCAGCATGAATATTCAGGTGAAAACTGATTTAATTGCAACACATTTGATATTATATTTGAAATGTGCAATTGTTATCTATGAAATTTATTTGCACTGTAATTTACATAAGCTTATAACTCTTTGCTATAGTTTGCTAGACAACAGCTTTTACAATGAGCTTTAAAGGGACACTTCAGAGTCAACTGTCAAAGGCTACTTAAGAGTCATCTATCAGAGGCTAGATAAAAATCAGCTATCCAGGGTAAAATCAGAGTGTTCTATCCGAAACTGGGAGTCCATTATAAGAGGAAAAAGAAGAATTCTCTTTCAGAGGCAAAATAAGGGTCCATTATCAGAGGTAATATCACGGACAGACTAGGCGAATTTTGTTCACCTGAATTTTTGACAAACAATTCGCTGCCGAATTCATTCGGCCGACACAATGGACACACTGGACACACTGGCAGAATGCCTGCATTGATAACTTGCCTGAAAATTAAATTACGCGTGCACACAGCACTAATTCACATGATAATAATATGGTGGTGTCCAAAAGGAAGGGAAGAGCGGCAGTTACTTATCTCATATATAATAAGTTGGGCTTTGACTCCCATGATATAATTAATTCCTATTTCTTTGCACTCTACATTGCATCACGGGTGGTCACCATTTTATTTGTCATGTGAAGCTTCGGCATCTGTGATTGGATGAGTTATAAGAAAGTGGACACACTTGCCGAACAAGTCGATGGCGATGAATTTTTGAGCAAATAATATCAAACACACTTGGTGTTGGCGAATGGCTTCAGCCCATGATCGGACGAATGTTGTAGCACGGGACACACTAGGAGAAGTTCGCTGGCGATTGAATCACCTGAACTATTCGCCTTGAAAATTCTCCCAGGAATTAGGTAGGGTTCTATTATCAGAGGACAAAATGCAAAATTAAATAATACCTTAGTAGTCTGTAAAGAAATGTTGTGAAAATAAGTAATTATATTATAAAGTAATAAGAGATATTTAGTATGGATGTATAATCCTATCAGATCGTTAAGGAAAAGATAATTTCCCTAGATACACTTCATCTCACTAGCTATAATTAATATTAATGGTTTATTGTAGACCAATATAAAATATTACCCAGCTATTATTCCTTTCTATATACCCAATAATTTAACTAATTTCCCACCATCAATTATTATTGTTGACTGACTAAACTTGACAATGAGAATGAATTTCTCTGCCTCTAAGAATAGGTTGCTCAGTCAAGATTGCAACCAGACTAATGTAGGACTTGAACTCTTACTCAGTGATCATTCAGGCAGCTATAATTTATTCATTATACCAATTTGGGATTTGTTTTTTGGTCATGTTTTTTGGACTTGAACCTAATCAGCAACAGCTTCTATAGTTTTTGTTTATTCTTGTTTGATCAAATAAAAACAATATGGCTGTTGACAACAACAATTCAACTGTAAAAATTTGAAATATTTCATTTTTTAAAGCACTGTTCTTTTTAATAGTTTTGTTTAAGGTTTATGCATTCTGAAATATTAATGTTTTATTTCTAATGAATGATATCAGCAAAATTTTTTATTTTTATCTTTTTGAAAAATATGTAAAAAAAGGTATTATCAAATTGTTTTAAGAAATGAAGAGTCTCTATTATATTAATGTAATGTATTTTGAATTTTTTTCAGATCACCCCCAATCCCTCATGCCACTGTTGAAGCGAAGGTAAATTTTCCTCATTTTACAAAACGGCACATATGGTGCAAATAGCTAAATTAGAGTAACCGTAAAGATGCTTATGTCATTTTTAATTATCTGTAACTAGTGATTTGGTGTTATAAGTACATATAGAATTCAAAATATTTTTTTCAAACAAAGTATGAAAAGGTTGTGTTAAACTAGTGAAAAATCTCAAGCCATAGTCTGGTAGTATTTAAAACAATTGAAATTCCAGACATAAACTGCCATTATTTTAATGAATTGAAAGTTGTCTTTCATGTATAAAAATTGAAATTTCAATATTTAATCACGTATTCAACTTTTATCTAGTTTTATATCATTTCCATAATTTTATTGCAAGAATTTTCCACCAAGCTGTTACTTGAAAACAGAATATGCGACAGCTCATAAATAACTACCTCTCAACCCTGTAGTAATAGACTAGTCCACTGTGTGGGAATAATAGCTATGAGAAAATACAATGGATTCTTCCGTCATCAGAAGACAAAACATGTTCAGTTTAAACAGTTATTTCAAGTCCTTTAGGATTTATTCATTTATTTATTCATCCTGAAAAGTATCGTAACTAGAGCAATAACTGACACTGATAGAATATTGGAGACTTTCCACATTTGGAAATTATGCTCTTTAATAATTTTCCTTTTGATTTTCTGTTTTTACAGCCCAAACCGGATTTAGCAGAACGAAGAGGAGGGACTACTGCCATGAAACCTAGCAATATCAACAGGTAAGCACTACATTTCCTTGCAAACTTGCATTTCTCTTGCAATATATAAGGTGTATATCTTATTATTTCTGAAAATAACCATATGAAATTGTAGCAAGGCAGGATGGTATAACCATTTCTACAGGTTATTATAAGAATATCATAAATATTTTAGTAACTAAATGCAATGATGTGACATATTTTTTGTAAATCATTATATAGCACTGTTTGATGTTAGAATTTCATATTACTACCAATCATTTGAACTGTATTTAATCAAATGTTAGCTTGTTAGGAATGCCAAGTGGCATCAGATATTCTAGATAATTGAGCATACCCTGCCTAGGATCAAACTATGATTGGCTGAAGGGCTTCAATTTATAAAGATGAAAGTAAAAATATAATTTGAGAGTATGATGACATTAGTATTGTTTCTTTTATTATTACTATGCAATTCTAGGTTAACTTTTAAAACACATATACATGTATATCCAACAGATGTGCTATTAGCTATGTGCTATATATATCTCATAAAATACACGTGGCTTAGTTCATTCATAGATATACATTAATATTATGCAAAATGCTTGTGACTATAACAGTATTTTATTAAATAAAGCTAAGCTAAAAGATTAAGATATATGAGTGATAGGCCTATAGCTTATTTATTACACACATGACATTGTGTCTGACATTAATATTTGATGTTGGATATCAAAAGAAAATTATAAAAATTCTATATATAATGATTACTAGTAAAACATGTCAATCTATAAATGTACTTGATGCCAGTTAGAGCAATTATGCCTCATATTGTGTTGTAATGTTCAGTAATTAATTACAATGTAATGCATACCATGCAAGTTGATGGTTGCTAGGTAATTGTATTCACACCAGGATGATCATTTATGTTGTCTGCTAGACTTTAACTAACATGTTTTATCTTGTTTAATATATGATATCTTCTTGAAATTATTAAGTACCCAAGCTTATCTTTACAATTAAATAATTTTAATTTAATGAAGGCAAAATATGTAGAGTAATCAAAGACATTGTTTCTTCAACACATCCAAAACTATTATATATGTCTACCCCTTTTCTCTACAACAGGTAATTTTCAGACAGGCCAACCAACATGTTTTATGTTTTATGTCTATCAGTCTCTGAACCTGTGGCTTTGAAGAAGAATTTGAAACTCCAAAAGAATTTCATACCATTCCAATATATTTTGACAATTGTAGTGAATAAATTTCAGACAGTAAAATTTCAAGCCTTACCACTGCCTTAGAATAAATTTAAAATTAAAATTTTAAAACCGCTGTTAAAACTAAGTCATGTTGTAGATTTATGTTTGTGTAGCTGACCAATTCACATCCCACTGTCCTAATTAGGTTCCTCCATCTTTAATTAAACCAGGACATGCTATTCCAGATATTCCCGTGAGATATCATAACTGTTACCAATAACTTCAAGGACACTGACTGTTGAACAGATTAAGCCAGTGTTATGATATTGGAACTTTTCTTTCACAAAGTTTGAATGATTCAGAATAATTTGTCTAGTTTTGATGACAAAGTGCTCTATGCTTTTACTTTATGTTAAAAAAAAAAAGCATTTGTGATTCATCAAATGATTATTCTTAAAAGTATTCTAATGCAAACTAGATAAGCTTAGACATCATTGCAACTTTCAATTGCAAAAGGATTGCATTTCTGTAAATCAATTTTTGCAATGTGGTCAACAATCATAAATGTGATCACAGGATTTGAATTCTTATTTATGACTTTAAACTAGTGTAAGTTTGAACTTGCCTGATGTATTTGAATAGGAACATGTATAATGTAGTATTATATGAGCATATTAAACTTTACCTACTACAGATTTAAATGTCAGTCAGTCAATATTACTACTGTTAGTGGGTAGTTTTATAACTCTAACTAACAAATTGAATTATGTAGGCCTGATAGCTCATTATTTAATTTCTTTAATGTGAATCAATGTATTACTAACATCCAAGATGTCAATTTGTGAAATGTAAGAACTTGATAGTGGAATTTTAGTGATAATGAGTTCTCCTAATTTCCTTTGGCACTTGCTCAAATACTGATATTAAACGAATGATCAAGTCCATCTTTAATAAAGATTTTTATACTGATAGTGCTGAAATTAAAAACTCTATCAAACTTAATTTATTAACTTTTAATAGATTGTCAATTCCTTAAATAAACTCATTAGTATAAACAAGAGATTGTTGTGGACATTTTTAAAAAGGATAGGTGGATTCTAAATATTCACCATATTTGTGGTCAGAATCCAGACATTTTATACATGTAACAACAACTAGAGTCAAATACTTGTTATAACTCGTTGTTACTAGACTATTGTTTATGTTGAGAAATTGCTTCCTGAAAACAAGCTTTATTTTGTCATATCTTTTGAAAGGCGTGATTTTTTTTGTTAAGTGTTCAACAAAAAACCATCAGGATGTATCTTAAGATTGGAATGGCAAGCTAATTTATCAATTTGATACACATATTATTGGTAAAATTGCAACTCAATTCCTGTTCAATAAGCAACATTTTGTACTTAAATTTTAGTTTCTACTGTAAAATAACCGTATATGAAATGAAAAATATCAAAAAATATTTTACTTATGTTACAAAATTATGTACTTGTATTAGAAAAGTTTATTTTGTGACCTAAACAGTACAATTCTTATAGTCTTCAGGTCCTTCTGTCCACAATTGGCTTGTGAAAGCGATAGAGACTACAGTTTTTATCTGATTCGAATGAAATTTGGTGTGATCATTTATATTGATGAGATTTTGGACAAGTTCAAATTTGTCGATCTTTCGATGAACCTTTTTTTTTAGTTATTGCCCACATCGTATAAATTTGTTTGTGAATACAATAAAGACTACAGTTTTTATCCAATTTAAATGAAATTTGGTATGGTCATTTATAATGATGAGATTTTAGTCAAGATTAAATTTGACAATTTTTCCATCAACAGAATTTGAGTTATTGCCCATGACTTAGTAAAAAAGCTTCAAAATTTCTTAGCGATAGAGGTGACAGTTTATGTCACCTTAATTTTATTAAATAATGTGTGTTTGTTTAAATCAACAATATCTTGCACAAATTAGATTTTTGGTATGATTTGAAACAGATAGGTGACTGCCCTTGATATACTGAAAATGTAACCACTTGTTGTCTTTGGGACACTTTTCTTTTTATAGAATTTTGCATTCTATAAATGTAAGTTAAAGTCTGATCTTTTCAAACATACAACTATTATTCTGTTGACAACATAATATGGAGAAAATTATTTAATGTCTCTTAGATCTTCAACTGACATGTCATATGTCATAAATTATAAAATGTAGAAAATTTATATAACTGTAGAGAAAAGAAATTTGATGACAGATTCCGTTAAGTCAGAGACTAGTGTTAAAAAACTAGTGTTACAGAATAAAGTAGACTAATGATAAGTAATATAAAGTTACAAAACTCTCAATCGAAAAATGACTATTTAATCAAAATCATTAAATATAAGGTTATGAGAAATACTGGTAAAAAAAATGCTGCCTGTCCATTCTAAGATCGGATTGAAAGTCAAAATCATGAAAGCTCAGTGATATCAGGTATTTTCATTAACATGCACCTTTGTTCGTTTATTTAAAAGGCCATTTATACATTTTCTGTATACCTACCCATCTTGCAAGGAATATTGAACTGTGAATGTTTTGTACATCTTCAGAATGTTATAAATTGCTCAGTCTTTCTGTGTTGGGCTCTGATTGGCTGTATCTGCTAGTGTACAATCCAAGTAAATCACTGCATTTTTAAATTTTCATGATAAAGATAAGTCCTTAATGATGCCTAGGTATGAGATGCTTCATATTACCTTGACATTGTGAAAATGATTGTCATGAAAGAAAATCAGAAAATCTTTGAGATATAATATCATAGTAGTTTTATTTTGTATATATGAAAGATGTTTATTGAAGATATCTTGTTCTCTGAGACATGAATAAATATAATCATATTTAATAACTTAAAACTTCTGTGGTTGGTTAATCTAATAATATGCCGATATAACAACCAATCATATTTCTGGATATAATTAAGATATAATCATGGTAAATTATGATGTTTTCTGACAACAAACCCCAGATTATACTTTCATTCATATTTCTTATCGTGGGTGTAATCTGGATTCAGAACTAAAACACCAATATTCTTCAGGAAACGGATTTGAATAATATTTTAATCAAAATATTGAAAATAAGTACAATGTAACGTTTTGTGTGAATAAATTGACTATTAAAGCACAGCAGTTTAGATAATTATTTGTGAGAAACAATGGCAAATGATGAAAGAATAGTTAAGCTTACATGAATTATTGATAAGTATTTCAGACAGCTTTAGTGCACTCGCCTGTTCAAAATAGCTACAATCAACACAAATAAAATTATATTTCAGGACGCAAAGTTTTAGGAATTGACAGACAATTAGTTTAAAAAAATAATTTACAATGAAATAGTGTAGTTTTTATCGTCTCTTGAGAAGCAATCTGATTTAGTTTTATTATGCTGATAGTTACAGGTGGGTGGTTTTTAGCGTCATCCAATAATCTCTTATTGATTTCACTTTATTGATGATAAGAGGAATTTGATGGGGGTGGGGATTTTATTGATTTTTATCTCGTGGCCTGGATTTCTTGATAATAGTGGGTGGGTTTATTGTTTTTAAAACTGTTCATTGATTTTAGCCTTCATTCATAGAGATTGATAGGAGAGGGGGTGCTATAAATCTTCACTAAGGAGTGGTTTGTCATTAAGATTGGTAGAAATTGCATCATAACAAGAAGAATCAATATTCTTTTCTTCCCTCAATGAAAATGAAGACAGACATTTCTTACTGTATTACAAGATATACAAATTCAAATTATGAAATATAAAGAGGCAGAAAGTACTGATATAATGAGTAATCAAGGTTGACAAAGATTACTTGCTCAATATCAGACGTTATAACATTTGGAGTAAAGTCTATAATATATTGGCATTGACAGGTTCTAGCATAAGAAGAGACAGGACTAAGTGTTCTATAACCTTTTACATTACAAAACGGAATGAATACATTTTTTGGTCTCGGAACAGTTCTCAGAACGGACATTTTAACTTCTTCATGAAGAGTTCCTCAGATAACCGTGCCCAGAATGCTTTTCGTTTACACTACAACTGAAGAACCGTTTTAAGACCACTTGAGTTTACTGTAATGTAAATGGGCACATTGTATCACAGCCTGGTCCAGACAGAGAACATAACCCTTTATAGCAGCTGATGTAAATGGGGCTATTGACAACTTCACCATTTTAGACTTATTTCATTGAAATTGTGTGGAAATGTATATCTGTATAAACAGAAGTTGTAAAGAATGTCTGACTAAAGGTTGTAGAAAGTTATTCTAAATGACTTAATTAGTTCCTTCTAGTTCCACAAAAGCCTATAATATACAGACTTTATTCCCATTCAATATTAACTTCTTTGTATCTGACATTACAACTACTTCATATAAACCTTTAACCCATTAATGAAATCTATGCCATTGATCATGGAATTCTTAAAGACCTGAAGATACGTGGGATGGAACCAATTACATTGACAGTCATGGTGTTAGTTTGGTTTGATGAAATATTTCATATTAGGAGTGGGACTTGAATATGATAAATATAATATTTAAGCTAATTTTTTATTCAGTAAATTTTATTGTAGTTTGATTCCATTTATTCTGTTCATGAAAGTAATCAATATTACAGCTTTCATTTAGTGTAAGTGAATGAATAAACATGAAATATATACTGTATTGTTTGTTTGAATAATTATACAACAGTTCAATCATTCATTCATTGATTCATTCATTCTTTCATTGATTCATTCATAAGATATTATTGCTTATTGAATAATTTAACAGTTCAACAGTCATTCATTTGTTCATTCATATAATTCAATAAAGAAGTCTGTTGTTTTCACCATTTCATTTAGTTCATTTGTTCATTCATTCAAATCTTTATGCATCTATTTCTTGATTCAAATTTCAATATTATATTATTCAATAAGCTTCATCATTCATGCATTCATTTATGTCTCATTGATTCAATAGTTAGTACTAGATGATAAAGGTAATGACAGAGTGTAGAGAGATAAGATTATCAGAGACCATATGTCACCAAAATAAATGTCAACAACTAATAGAAACACACACAAAAAATACAGTCTACATGATTTACAGATACCATTCTTCATATTATTGATCTAGAAATAGTTTCCCAATAAAAAAACAATTATTTTGTTATTTTATATGATTAAAATACTTTATAATGTATATTCATGAGAGTTTTATAGAAGATATAAAACATACTGAGTGAATTAAATTCATTACAGCTTTGGCTATATTAGATAATTTGCTGTTACCTCCATACCAACAGCAATTTGTTGTCACTGTTGTCCATTTTCTAACCATCTCAGATAGAGCCTATGTCAACCTGAGAGCACTGAGGATTGAATCTTTCAGTTGCTTCTAGTTGTCATCAATTGATCATGGTTTGCTTTCAAGCCAAACTGGCTTATTTCGTCTAAGTAGTTTGAATCTGTGACTACCAGTTAATAACTGTTCTGATGGATGGCTAATTTGTCAAAGTGAGTGTGACTATGAAATGAAACTCACAAGAGTTATAATTTTTGTATTTAATGATTTTGTAATGTATTTATTAATATTTAACTGTAGAGTATTGGACAGATTGAGTCATTGGATTAGTCGATTAAAGAAAAAGACATTAGCAGCTAGATGTAGACCTAGGTATCAAGTCTTGTATTAGTTTAGACTTGTTTTCCAAGTCTCTTTGTTTGTTTATTATCCTTTGTGTTTGTTTATGTTTATTTACATGAGAAATAGTTCAAAATTTTTCACTGAGACCAGCCTTTTGTGTATGTTAGTCTTGGTAAAATATTATTGGACATTTTCAATCTGGTTGTTGATTGCTTTGTTGACCTTTTGTAGGTCTTCAAGTTATAATTCTTTTTCTAAATAAAGATTTTTCAACACATTTTTAATGATTATTTATTGTTTTCAGGTCAATGTCATGACCAGGTATAAATATTTTTCATTGATAGTTCAGGATGTAAGGATTATTACAGGCATTACTCAATTGTCTTTCCTTAGAAGGCAATAAATAAATGATTATGAATGTTTTTGCATGTTATTTTTAGTTATTTGATTTTCCAATGTTTATTTTATTCTGTATGGTTAAATTTCAGTATATTCAATTTTCAATGTTTTATATCCCACATTTTAAACGCCCACATGAAATGGGGATATATATATTGTTGTCGACCATGTCCATCTGTCCACAATTACTCTAGAAGACACAATTCTTGAATCATTTTAACAAAACTTGGTATGATTGTTTGTAAACACCTAAGGATGAACCTTATTGAAAATCAGAAAAAGCGGATTTTGACTTATTATTATTCAGTATCACCTCAAAATCAAAGCTGTCAGTGGAATGGGCGTATATTACCTTGCCTGGCAAACTATTTTAATGGTTAAAATCCTCATCAGGACATCAGGACATCAGGAACTAAATACAGGAAGGTTTGAACAACAATATAAGGCACTCACTGAACATAAAAAGGTGACCCTAACCAGAATATTCTACAATAAGAAGTTCAATTTGTTACAGTTGCCATAAGTTGGTAAAGGTGAAGAGTTGATGTATTTTTTACTGTAGACATCTTGAAACTTTAAGTTCGAATTCTTAAGAATTTTGATGTCATTTTAATCTAAATTTCACGAAATATTTAATTGAAATATAGAGTGTAAAATATTAAGGTTATTAATCAGGTTTTTGATATGCCATAGAAACATTACCTTCAATACTTCCTTTAATTGTCAATTACAGGATAAATGGTCATAGATTTTCTAGTTGACAATTTGTAGTTATTGTAAGGTTTTGTTACAAATGAAATTAAATGAATATAGGTTTATGTCCTTTTCTGAATTTGATTTAACTAATATAGACAGTGTTCAATGATGGAACTTGTGCCAAGACAGCAGCATATGCCTACTCTTTTTCGATTTCCAACTGTCCAGGGACCTTTAACATGCACAATTGACAACAGGTTTAAAGGCATTATCTTTACGTATGCCAAGTTTGAACCCTGGAAGTTTTATTACAGTCAAACTTGTATAAAGCAATTGGTCAGGAGAATTACCACTGCTGCTTACTGTAGGTGGTTACTGGTTGCTTAATGAAGCTCCAGACTGTACGCTGATATTTTTTTTTAGAAAAAATCAGCAATCATTCTGGTTGTTATTCAAGGTATTACAGTGAAAATGAAAATGTGTTTGAATGATGGTAATGATAATTACTGTGTTAAGTGTAAATAGTTCAATTCTCCAGAGGCTATGATCAGTACATATCATGTTACACTATTAACAGAGTGCTTAAATTGATTGCTTATCATTATTAGATAGTGGACAATGTTTCACATATTAGAAAGAACAGGGTACTATTGCAGTCAGATTTCCTGTTAACAATAGAAAGAAATTGTTCCACATGGTGATCAAGATTCCAGGCTGAAATTTTATTGTGATATTAAGATAGGTCAAAAAGGTTCCATTTTCAAGTATTGTTTGATATCTTTTAACTTATTAAATAGAAAGAAATGATTTATAACATACACATTGATGACTTGTAAATTGTCTTGAATTAGAAGGGCATCAGTTAGTGCAACAATTTCAATATCATATTCTAGATTATTGAACAAGTGGCCAATGAATGAGTTGTTAAATATTGTCAAACAATTGAATATTTGTACTACATGTGTACTAAATACTTTAATGGGTCTGTTAAATTGATACTCTAGAGGTCTGTGGTTGGTATTAGGATACATTTTGCAGGTTTTCTACATGTTTTGAAGTTGGTACATATAAAATAATTCACATTGTTTATCTATGTGTATAGACAGGTACACCCAATCAAAGCTTAGTTAACATTGACCTTTTTCTATAATAATTGTTGAAAGCATATCTTGCTTCAACTTTTAGTATTACAATAGGAACATTTGTGGAGATCTGGTTGAACAAAAAAGGAAGTTAAATGCCAAAATTATGCCAAAGTTATCCAGGAATAGTAAAGTGTAAAAATGTAATTGCAATATAGCAGTTAAAACTTCTACAACAAGGAAGTTAGAATGGAATAAAATAAGCATTAAGAATGAAACGTGATCAGAAGGTGGTTAAAATCTATCAGTTAGTAATCTAGACACGATTTATACATTATAACTATTGACAGTTCATCTATTATATTCTACACATTATAAATCATTCAATAACTCACTAATATACCTTATATTTCACATCTCTCACTAATAATTATCACAACTTTCTTTTTTATCATGATGTAAGACATACAAAATTCTTTCTTAAATTTTAATTCTGACACTAATTTAATTAAGGCTTATTCAATACTGTTTAGCAGTTGATAAGGATTTTCTTTTTCATTCTCATTCTGTGCTATAAATTTAGATTAAAGTTTTATTTGCTTGAAAAATTTTTTTTATTACCTTTTCATTTTCACATCTTGATTGATGTTAATATTATGGATCTGAATCAATATTAACATATTTAGCTTGAAATATTAGCAAAATTTATTTAAGTGTAAATTCCCAAGTACAATATAAAAGACATAATTTGGTTGACTATTGAAAGAGCTTTTGAATTAATTTTAAAAATTGGAATCTTTTGCTCTCCTACAAATGGTAATTATTGTCAGTTCCAGCTGTCTATCACAGACTGATCAATTTTATACAACAGTTTGAAAACTCATCTTGTATTTTTATTGTTTCTATTATGTACATTAATTTCTTGTCTGTTAATCACTGACTATCAACTATTGATTTCTGCAAATGATTTCATTCCACAGACAAAATTATTCACAAATTGACAATAACATGCTTCATTCACTACAAGTTGTATATATAAATATCGTAAGACAGTTGGGTTGTGGAAATGGTCATAGGCTATCATTAAGTCATTGCAAAATTTCTACACATCACTGAATGTTTTCATTTATTGTAAAAGAGTAAGTTATTTGATAAAAGTAATGCAGATAAGCTTATGGTAAATATAATTGAAGGACATAAAAGCAAAAAGGGCATAAAATTTATTGCATAGTAAAGTTGAGAAGGGTTAGTAGGGTGTAAAATTCCATGTTATATGATCTGATCAATGTCAACAAACTAGTGAGAATACAAGTTAAATGAAGAGTAAAAGTATTTGACTAGACTATTAGATTAGATGTTTAATCCCTAGTGTGTGATTTATAGTCTGTGTAAAGCAATGGACAATACACTGACCTTTCACTACATTATTTAGATTTTAACAGTTTTACAGATTAGTTAGTATGGTATGGCCCCATGATAATCTGGATTAGCAAAATATTTTAATGAAAAGGACTGTTTTCTTTGACTGAAATTTTTTTTTAAAATAATATATTCCAAATGAAATGATAATTGTAAAATTTTATGTCCTCCCACATAACTACACTTCCACAAATAAGATTTTTGAGGAGCTTGGTTTATTCTTTTACCAACTTGTGGGAGTAACTCACAGATGAAAACTATAGAAGGTGAATGAGGTCCAGTAAAGCCCAGGGAGATAACTTCTTCAACTAACCTTTTGCAAATATATGGACTAAGACTGGTAATTCATTTGCCATCTGTTTCCATGTTCAATCATGAAATTCAACCTTCTATAACTTTTTCCAGAAATCTTGTTGAAAACTTTCAAATATGTCACATGAAACCTGGCCAATACTAAAGTAACTGGACAAAAATTCAATATATGAGTCATGACCATGAAAATCTTGAGCTAGCCAAACTGAGAGTAGACCTCTACATTTTATCAACATCCTCTTGACTGTCTCTGCACACAAAAGGACTATTTTCAAAATTATCCTTCCGCATTAAAATTTCTCATCATCTCACAAAATCACAGACATGAAATTCCAAATCTAGACCAAAAATTACTCAATAATAGGCATGCAAAAAACCAAAAGGAATGGAGAAAGAGAATTTCTAAACATAACACAGACTACATTCGTATTTACATAAAAAGTTTTAGTGGACTGAGTCCGATATCAGCCAGTTAAAGGGATATCTGCCATCTCCAAATTATCTGAAGAATTTTTATGCTGAAACTAAATTCTATTGAGATTGATTTGGTACAAAAATTTGTTTATTTGATTATATGTCGAAGTTACATTTTCTCCACTAACTGTACCAGTTAATAAGTAGTAATCTTTTCCATATAGGCTTCCTTCCTTCATTTTTATGATGCAAAAATTAAGAATTTTGGCACGTTTTTATAGTTTTTACAGGGTTTCTCAATTGATCGGTAGTCTGCCATCTATAATCGATATCAATTTGCTAATTGATACCCAGCCCTAATCACATCTGTTTCATTATTAACATTTTAAAATGCTCATTGATAATTTATAAATTAATTATGATAATGGTAATGTAATAAGTAGTTCATTATTATTTTATATTTTGCCATGTATTAATATTATGATATTTTTTATTGTAAATTGGTATACCAAGTTGTTATCAGTAAAGAAAGAGATCTTAAAGTCAATAAAAAGTAGGTCATGTTTAGTTGATAATAAAATAAAACAATAAATAATACTATAGACAGACACTGTAGGCTATAAATCAAATTTATTTCTTCTTACTCAGGTTATACATTTACTTTCTTATCTTTTAACTTCATTTACACCTTGAAATATAACAATACAGGCTGTTAATAAATTTGCATTGTTTAAAAATATTTGAGAATTAAGAGTTTTTACTTCTTATTTGTCCTATTTGATAAGTGATTTCAGACAATTTGTCACAGTGTGCAGTGAAAACAGTACTTATAGACATATGAGAGATTTTGCATGTACCCTTATCACATCTTTAGTTTTATAAACCAAGATACACTTTAGTGCCATTTTGTAAGAGATGGTAAATGATTAATGGAATTTTGTCCCTTTCAAATATAATATATATATATGTATATTTGACAGTATTATTGATTATTGAGTCATAAATGACGTGAGGAATTTTTTGTGCAGCTGTAGAAAAACTGCAAAACAAGTTCACATTTTGAAGCTGGTGTGTTATTTTTTAAGTTAAAAATTGTGAATGGTATTTTATCTTGTCAAGTTGATTGGTGGAAACTAGACTGAACTAGACTAGTGTAATGATTTACTTCCTGTGTAGTAAGGCTGTGAGATTTGGTGTAATAAAGTAGTTCCAGTGTAGTAATCAGTGTAGTATTTCAGGTTGTAGGTGGAGTTGTAGGAGGAGAATATAATGGTTTTGTTGACATCACTGACAATGTACTCAAAAATACTCAATTATCACTCTCTGTTTAGAAAATTAGTTCTATTTTTTGTATTGATCAATTTGACGTAGTAAAGAGATAAAATGTCATGTGTGAATAAATGATGTAAGATACTTGTTGATTTAGGATTGGGTCCAACATGGGGGTAATTAAGTATATGTCCTTTTTGTTGGATAACGAACAGTCACAGAAAATGTCATCTTGATTGCAGTACAGTGGTTTTATAGTTTTCATTTTATCCATGTTATTACACTCCATGACTTCATTTTTCCAATTAATTAACTCATCTATCTTTGTAATATAGCTCATCTGATCATTTATTGACATTTTACTTTCTCATCTATCTATTCTCATTAAGCTCATCTATTCATCACCAAAAATTTTATAAGCTCATCTATCTATTCTCGTTTAGCTTAACTAACCATATCAACTCATTTATTCATCTTAGACTAGTTCACCTATCCTTTAATTCATCTATTCGTCCTCTGTTCAACTATCTATATTCTGCAAGGTTATTTGACCCTGTCTTAAAAATAATATAGGGATCTGATGGTTATTTAGTGTTCAATGTGAAAAAGGACTTTTCAAGTCATCAGACACCCTCCACTATGAGTTGAATTGAGGAAGAGACTATGACAATAATAATATGTCAACTAGATGAGGTATGTAGACTTGTTGACAATTGTTATACTTGTTATCTGATATCTACTCACTGTCTAGTTATATAATCCTCAATCTTATCTCAAAGTGACAACAACATGTTATACTTTATACAATTGAAATGCATGTTAATTACTTGCCATGTAGAAAAATTGAATTTTAACTTCATTGTATTATAAAGGTCACACAAACCAAAGTGTACTCAACGTGAAATATATATCTAACAAGATCTACACTGTATTTGAAATAAAATAAATTTGTAACCTCCCCACCAAGGAATGCAATGCATTTGATTAATTTGTGTGATAAACTGTTCAACCAATTCTTTTCATATTTATAATAGGAGTTTTAGAACACCTTACTGAATAGTTAAAGTTTTTTTCAGTTCATGAAATTAATTTAGGAATTTGACTTGTAAAAATGATAAAAAATACATGTTATTCTCTGTATTTTTTCATCCAAGAACTTCAATACAATTAAAACACAATCTTTGTATTGAAAAATGAAGGAACAAATCAGTATAAATAAATGAGTTGGAATCATTATTATGATGATGAAGAACAATAGTGGAATTTGATCTGTGCTTGAAGCTGTTTGAAATAGTAAGATCAGCTTGCAAAATTTTAGTTCAAAGAACTTAAGGTAGAGGTAATTGCTGTTGATTCTGCTCTAATGTCATCAAATATTCATGGATTATATCTTTTCTATCAATTATCAACTAGGTTCTGACTTTTACTCAATTATTGTAATGATTTAGTATGGAACAATAGAAAACATGTTTAATTCTTACAAATGATATTTAATCATTACAAATTAATTACTAAATATTGCTTTTCCGGTATTCTTTTCACATGTCCACACTATGTGACCTCCAGGGAATTAGGAATTTGTTATGAAGATCAGGTTTTGACTGGGTATATATGACAAGATTAATAGATTAATAGTTAATAAAAGTGTGGTATGTTTTTTCACTGTCATTGAGGCCATGTATATTTTATTTGAAATCAGATAGCAAAGACATGAATGAATTGTACTGATATTTCAGTTATGAAAGCATAATGCATGGGAACTCATTTAATATAGAAATTCAAATTAGTGATATTTCCATCATCATCTCTTTGGAATCATCATCTTCTTTTTCAGAACTAGAGTCAAAACATATTGTACTCTAAAATTGTTATATAGAATAATTAATTGGTAAAATAAGGTTTTGCACGTTGTTTGAAGTTTAACAGAAACGTTGGTAAAGTGGAATGAAATTATAAAAGCTCGTTCTAGCATTGAAATGTATTGATCTAAAAGAAATATACAGTGTAGCATGGTGTTTTATATCTGATTTGATTGAAATAATGCGTAAAGTCTTCTTAGTTTTACTTAACACAGGAAAACATGAGATATAGAAGAAATATTGAAGTTAGATATGAAGTAGGGTTAATTTGAGTCATCTTATTACTATTATTTTATAGGATTAAGACACAAAAATTGAAATTATATAAGCAAATTGAAGAAACTTGACCTGGTATAATGATGATTCATTGGATGAAACTTCGTTAACTTGATTTTTTTAAAAAATCCCTAAAAAACATAACGAGTTGAGTTAACAGAAATTATTGAGTTTTTTTAAACTGATATTTTAGTAAACATATTTTTATAAAGTAAATTGTAGTATGACATTTTTCCATGGAAATATTCTGGCCTTTATATACATAACAATTTCTTAAAAATTTGCCAGCAATGGTTTGATGATGTTTATTGTCAACTTTGTCAAACTATACTGATAAATCATATTCAGTTATTCAGTATCTTATTACTATATGCCACTCAAAGAAGCATTGCTGCTGTTTATTGATACATTTTGATAAATCAGAACTGGCACTCTATTAACTGTACAAAAAGGTCTTCATTTTAAGTTTACTGCCTTGGGCTTAATTATCTTGTTTGAACTTTACTGGACACAGTATAATTAACACAGATTTACATTCCTTTGACTATTATTGAATTGTTGAAATAAGGAGGTCAACATGGTGTATATCTTGTACTATTTGCCATTTCTTGCTTCTGTCTAAAAACCTCTATTTCTACTTTAATGACACCCTTCCTTTATATATTATTTAACACTATTATCATTTACGTATGATTGAAGCTAATGAGTGTGACACCTGTGTAGTTATACCAGTTTTTCTCAAATGTTCACATTTTTAATTGAGAAATTGTTTAATGAATCAAAATTATTTTCTGTGACCATACATTCATTAAACATAATGAACCTTATCTATTTACTGTATCAATTTTATACTTCAGGACGCCTCCTTCCTCTAGTAGTGACAGTTCTAGTAGTGGTTCAGAATCAGGATCAGACAGTGATTCCAATAATTCTGGTTCAGATTCCGATTCTGATGATGATGAAGATGAAAAAGAAGAAAAAGAGAAAGAAGAGAAAGAAAAAGATGAATCAAAAGAAAAAGAAGAAATCAAGAAAGATTTAGACAAATCTGTTGATTCTACATCATCTACGGTAAATAAAGATTCTTGATACTTTTCTCAAGTGAAGTTAAGAAGTTCTTCAAATATTCATCAGAAATTCTGATGGTATCAGCAACTGCATTGGTCATCCAGATTAGAATGAGTGTCTTTGGGAGCTGTTTTAAAATCTATAAGCACTCGCAGAGATATTTGTGTATGGAGGTGACAGATGTGATAGAGCTCAAGAAATAACCTAAAGATCCTAATATTGCAGAAAGTTATGAGATAGGAAGGGTTTATCCACCTGAAATAACATGGTTTTCTTTTTCTTTTCAGGAAAGTCAACCGAATCAACCAAAATGGAGTCTAGTTCAGTTTATCAATAAACCCAAAACTTCTCCATTATCTAATACCAGTACTGGTAGTAAACCTAGTGGAGGGAGTAAGATAGATGAGGAGAATAGCGCTATGTTAGATGATCTAGTGACTAGTAAATCGTTAAAAGATATTGGACCTTCGTCAACCTTACCATTTGATATTCCAATCAGTAGTGACAGTGATGATGATGTCACTTTGCCAGGATGTGATGCAGATCGTTTACAAAATGGTGAAAATTCAGAAAGTGAAATATGTCATAGGATTAGCTGTTCTCCATCTGCCTTAAGTTCAAGCAGTAGTGATTCTGACACTTGTGATGTTTCAATGTCAAAACCCACAGGAAAACATCCTGTAAAACGCCAACGTCAGTCTAGCTCAATTAAATCAACCAATGACAAAGTGAAAAAAGACGGCAAGTCTTTGAAAAAGAGTCATTCTAGTGTGAACAATTTGAAATCTACGGAGTCCAAACACAAAGAGGAGAGAAAACGAAAATTAACTTCGACCAAACGTAAGAAAATCCTTTCAAGGGAGATTATTGACTCTGATAGTGATATAGACGTTGATGTGGTCTCTGTTACCCCAGACACTAAACATACTGCTCCCATGTCCTCCAATCTTTCCGACCACAATCAAAATGATAAACTCTCCATAACTAAGCAACTGTTCTCATCACCTAAAAACTCTCATGATTCGTCTGACTCAAAACTCAATAATTCTCAATCATCTAGTGGTAAGCCTTCCAAATTGGGTCGCCACAAAGATGATGTTGAACATAAAAAACATTTATATAAGAAAAACCATAAAGACAATGTGAAAAAAATCATACCAGACTGTTATAAATCTAGTGATGAAGATGAAAGTACAGACTGCGCACAGGATGTTGAGGAAATATTTGAATCAACGGAAGATTTCCGTCCTCCAAGTCTCCATTCTCCTCTTCCGTCATATCCTTTCGGACCCTGCAAAAATATGACTTCACCTTCCACGGACAATAAAAGTCTCGCCTTACAAGAACTCAGTATTAAGTCTTTACCATCTCAAAAGTCTACCAAATCACCCATATCTAAACATGATATTAAAAACCAAATTGTTCCCTCGAAAACAGACGAATCAGTTGTTGTGAAAATTAACCTGTCACTAATTAAAAACCTTAAGAAAGAACCTGTGAAAAAATCTGAGCCTGAACCAATTAAAAAATTAACTAAAGATAAAAAAGAACCTAGTGTAAATGTGGATGTGAAATCTAGTGAAAGTTCCTCTGGCAAGGAAAATGTAAAAAAATTGAAAAAAGTGAGTGAATCTGTGGATGATTGTGTTTCTGTTAAAAAGGAAATTGTGACAAATGTCGTGAAGGCTTCGCCTGTGAAAGTGACGAAAAAGGAATCAGATTCTGTGAAACAATCGACTATTGTGAAATTGGAATCAGAAACAGTGAGTAAGAAAAGTAGTAAGTTGAGTGAAAGTATGTTATTGAAAGAAGAGGTGAAAAAAGACAAAGATTCCACCTCGAGTAAGAAAGAGTCTAAAGAACCACGGACTAAAGAAACAAAAGCTAGTAAGAGGAAGAGTGAGAGTAGTTTATCAAATGATAATAGTGCTAAAAAACATAAATCCTCGTCGTCAACTTCTACGTCAAGCAAGACTTCATCATCTAGTTCCAGTCATTCTACATCAAATTCTAAAAAATCTTCATCAAACCCTACAGAGTAAGTCTAGTTTTATTGTTTAATTATCTGTAAATATTTTTGAGATAATTACCTCCATTTGACGGTTTGCTAATTCCTTTTCAATAGAAACTAATAAAAAAAAACAAGGGTAACTTTTAGGATCCCAAGGATCCTTTCTGCTAGCTAATCCTTGGCTAATCTACCCTGGATGGACTGGAATCATAAGGAAAGATGGCTTATTTAATATCACTAAATTACCAAGCAAATGGAGTCATGTTTCCATTGCTCAGATAATGCTATAAATCCATCGAAAAAAACTCAATAAATGATTTTATAAAAGTAAAAGTTCGATGCAAAATACTGACTCCAGCAATTGTAGCAATTTAACTAAAGTAGTTTTTAAATCTGAGACCTTTTTAGTTAGATGTAAAGAAGACCTAATTAGCACAGCAGGTAGACATTTTCTTGTCAAGATTCTGAAGGACAAATGTGTCAATGTAAGATGTGATATTTGACATTTGTGACGTCTAAAACCAATTACAGATCAACAACTTTTACTTTAGAAGATTATAGAGTAGTCATTAGGCCAATGACCTGCTGGTAGCTTGACAATACTGTATAAATAAACTCCTACATAAAGCCTTAAGAATTGGTCAGAAAGGGTCAATGACTTAGATAGTTTACTAGTATTACTAGTAAATTTCTTCACTTTATACATGGACCATTTGTAAAATATCTCACCGTGATGGTTCAACAAAGAATCTCCCTATTCCAAAACAGGCTACACACATTAGACATTTAAGATGAAAAAAAAAAACAGCCTTAAAAATTGAAATATGTACATCTAGTCACTGAAGTTGGAGGGCGACTGGCATGTGTTTGAGATAATTAACATCCCTGATTGTCTGAGGACAATAAATTCATATATAACTAATAGTATCAAATGACAGGGAACTTGCAGGGTTTGATTTCATTATAGAATAAAGAAAATTTCTAATTTTACTCTGTCTTTTTTACAATGGCTTCTATCTTATATTTCCCTGGTAAAATTAGACATATAAGATCTAATTTTTGGAGACATTGTAAAGATGCTAATAGTCCCAGTGTACTTATTTATAGTCAGAGGCTTCATGTATGGAGAAAATATAAACTGAACTTTTTTTTACATTGGATACTGTTTTGGTTGATATGATCAATCCAATTTCAGTCAGCCCTAATTTTCAAGAATATCGCTGTCAAATTGCAAATTGCTTTGAAATACGAAAAAATGGATTTTTAGTTCTTCCTTGTGCACTCTAGTAGGTTACGGATCATTTGTAATATTGTGTAGTGAGCAATAATGGTTATTTTGGAGCATTAAACTGATTTATTTTGATAAATAATTTCAGACTTCTATACTATATCAAACCAGTCTATGGTCATGAAATATTTCTTTTGGCACATTTCATGCAGATTTCTTTGCACTTAGATGCTACTTTCACGACTGATTAATGCAGATTACATCAAATTAAGTAACTGTAATTTTACAATTAAGTTAATGTTGATGTTGTTTTTGTGTAGAAATGGTATAGATATAGATACAGAAGACGAGAAACGACCACACAGTCGTAGTGAACGCAGAAACAGTACGTCCAGTACATCTAGTCGTCATAGTAACAAATCTAATCAATCGAAAAAACCTAAATTAGAATCGAAATCAAGTAAAGAATCCAGTTCTGATAAAACTAAGGTAAGGTATATTTTGCTGAACATCTCTTTGTCTTCTGATTCTGTGAAAATAAGTAGAAGAAAAACTGAAAACCATGTTCATAATCAGATAGTAAGGAATCTTTGTTGGCTGAAAGTGAAAAAATATGAAAAAATTGTTCCCCATTTAACCTTCTTATGTTTACAAAGGATAATGGACCTTTGAACTTTGATTAAGAAAGAAAACAATATTACGATAATAAAATGAATCTGTTTATTTACAGAAGTCAAGTACACCAGTACATCAGAATGGTATAGAATCTAATAATCATCATATACCATTCAGTAAATATAGTGATAGTAGAGTACCATCTTCACCAGCTAAATCTTTATCATCATCTTCTAAACCACAGATTAGATTAGATGAACAGTAAGTTTTATGAACTTGTATTGACAGATAAGTAACATTTCTTATGGAAGCAATGGTTATACAATACAAGCCAAATCTTTTAAGAAGTAGAATGAATCTAATTAGAATTAGATCATAATTTTGTTTCATTCTTAAATTTTTTGGTCGGTCTCTATTGTAATCTAATGAGATTTATACCCAGGTCATGTACTGTTGACGTTGCAAGCTATTTATAGCAGACAATCACTCAAAACTCTCTGACCAATCAGAATTACTTTTACAAGTGGGTATCGGCAGTTTCATATTTCATTTTTATACTGTATATTGTCGTCACGCTTGGCCGTCTGTCCACAATTGCTCGTAAACACAACAGAAGGCACAATTCCTGACTGATTTTGACGAAACTTGGTATAGGTGTTTATCACCCAAGCATGGACCCTATTGAAAATCATAAAAATTGAAAAATATTTATTATGAGTTATTGCCCTTGTTTTTGAAAATGCGTTCAATTTTAAGCTCGTCAACATTCTGAACATTCTGGTAGGCACTATTCTTGACAGATTTTGACAAAATTTGGTAAAAATGTTTATTATCATGATGATGATGATGATGGATGAACCCTATTGAAAATCAAAAAATGTTTTATAGGAGTTATTGCCCTTGTTCTTGAAAATGCTTTCAATTTTTAGCTCCTAATCACTAAAAGGCATGATTCTTGCTGGATTTTGACAAAACTTAGTAGTACTATTCAGCATTGCCCCAAAAAGTTCAAAAGAAGTGTATGACTGAAGGTTGAATAATTCATACTGTATTTATAGTTGATATTTATTCTACATGATGCGCTGTGATTGCTTGAAATGGATGTACAGGACCTTGGTATAATCTTTTTAGATTAGAATGGAGACTGATAAAATTAATAGAATAGAATATTTGTCTAATTTGAATTCAATCGGTGTAGAACTGTCCCATTTCTCTTAAGATCTTGCTATCAAAGTATATTATGAGTTTGACAAGTTTCAATGGTAAGATTTTTTAAGAAACTGGGTTTGGTTTGATAAACTATTGGTATTTCTAACTTTTCTAATATTTTTGTTATTTTTATTTACAGTAGTGTAGATCATTATTTATCTAAAGGTAAAGAATTAAAACATAAAGCTGATCCTTTGGTAAGTATTAATATTGTTTTTTCTGACATTTATTCATTTGACCATAAACCTATTCATTCATTCATGTTCTGTGCATGCAAGTAAGCAAAATGGAAGACAAAACAAAACAACCCTGTATTTATAAAATTCCATGACTGGTTTTCAAATATGTAGAAAGCTGAAGTAACTCAGTCATTCATTCTATTGTATTTGTATTACAGAGAGATAAACACTATTGTATTTGTATTACAGAGAGATAAACAGCCTCTACAATCATACTATACATATACAGAAGCTGTATTAGCCTATATACAGGGTGCTTATTCCATGGAACAGAAGAAAACTGAACCACAAAGAGTGTTTACACTTTATAATGAAACTTTACATTTATTAAAGTAAGTCTGTTGTGTATTTCATTCATTAGAAAAGTGTTTATGAAAAACAAGATAAAATTGGATTTTTTGCTATGAGCTCATATGTAGACCTATTAATTGTTGTTAAACTGTGACTTGTTATTGAGTAGTATGTTTTTTGCTAGAACATTTTGTAATTTCTTTGTTTAAACCAAGAAAATCTTTAAGTGTGGACACATTTTTTGTCAATTTTAGTGTTTATAGAATTTCTTATGACTAATTAATTTGGCTTTGTCCCATTCAAATATTATAAAAACGATTGTGTGTGAAATTTTTCACAATGTGCAACTTTCATTTTTGATCACAAATGCTCCTTAAACTCCTTTAAAAATAAGTAAACCTAAGTGTTCTAAAATACTCTAGATTCTATGACATAGATAAGAAACACAAGTTTTGTATAGTCATCATTTAATCTAAGAATAGAATTCCATTTTTTTAATGAAATATAAATCAGTTTTTCTATTGTTAATTTTTATTTTTAAAGCAGAGATAATTTTGATTTATAATGCTATATTTGATTTACGACCCAATTTAGTCTAGATCTATTTATAGTATCACATGTATGACATGTGACATTCATCTATGATAATATGTTTTGCCATGTGAATTGAAAAATGATATAAATATTGTTCATCAGCTTTTGACTTTCTTAGAGTTTGGTTAATAGAATTTTTGGTTTATAGAAATTGAATTAACTGACATACAATCTGACAGTTGTTACCAGTTCATTTTTTTTATTAAGAAAAAACGGTATGTGTTACTTTTGAAAAGATTGTAATGATCCTGATAACCTACAGGAATGTGCCTCATCTTCAACACACATCTGCAATATAAGGGAAGTAACTCTAAAATGTGTTGTATTATTTATTACAGATGGTTTACCAGTAATATTAAACTAGATTCTGCTGCTCATGATAAAAAATTATCAGGATTAATGTAAGTTTTATATCTTCTTTATCCTTTTGAAGTCTATTGGCTGGCACCTTTGTTATACATAAAATACTACAATGAACATTGGTTGCTTTAACAATTTTATTATCTTATAACCTTATAAAGGCTTGTCCTTTTCACAAATGTCCTAATAATTTGTCTTATTTTGACGTTTGTTTGATTCTATTCCTTTGACTTTTAGAATTTGATTTTATAAAAATGTTATTTTGATATTTGATTGTAATCTTAATTATTTTGTCCTAGAAAACTTCACCAGAATCAGATACATGAAAATTATTCATTCTTTTACAGATATCGTATTCAGTCAATATTGTATTTAAAAATGTATTATTTGAAGAAAAATGAAGGGTTAAAATTTAAGAAAATTATTGAATCACATGAACAGAGTAAGGTAGGCATTGAATATAATTTTTCTATTCTACTGTAGACTGAGTAAACTATGTCAAAACTGTTTTAAAAAGGCAGCTCCTGATCAGTTCACGGATAGAAAGTGACTTAAATTGAAACCTGTCTCTGTATGGTGTTGTAAGTGATCATAAGCTTTTCTTTATATTCTGTAGGTTACTAAAGCACCTCATGCTCCATCTCCTCACCAAGGTTGGAATCGTAGTACTGGTATACCATCACCCATGTCACCAACACCTTCACCTGCTGGTAGTATAGGTTCAGTCGGATCACAGGTTTGTTCTCATACTTTATTGCCATGTCAAAATTTACTAACAAGAAACTATGCCAGTGAGAACTGAAGTATGTATATCAATTACTACAGTTGATGGAATGTATGAGTTTATTTCTAAAAAAAAAAAGAGTTATGGGAAGCTAAAAAATATAAACTACTGATAAATTATGGCTTGAAACAAATTGACATCTTCAAAAGGGAAAGGTATGCAACAGCCTAAAAGTAACACAATTTGTATAGTAGTACTTCATTAGAAAGAGTCTGAATTATACTAAGTGCTTCCTCCCATTTTAAAATGAAGTTTTCAGAAAGTTTTGTTTTTATATTTTAGGGAAGTTGTGAGTTATCTGCTAATAAACCAAATGGTACAGCATCATCTATTGCTGCAACTGCTAACTCAACCCCAATGGCATCACCAGGTTCTGTCAGCATACCACAGAGAATTCATTCCGTAACTCAGCAATATATTACTATCTCGGGTTATCTGGTCAATGCTAGGGAACTTTGGGATAAAGCTGAAATTATTGCCAAAGAATGTCATTGTAAGTAATGATTATTTATTACTTTTTGGAATGTAATGTCAGTCTGAAATTGCTTGCTATTCAATACAGGTTATGTTCTGTTGGAGAGATAAAGGACATGTTTTGTAGCATATTTTTGCAAATTATATCATTTGAATTATATTAAAATTAAGAAGTAAAAAGCATGCTGTAGTGTTTGAATAATATAATTTCAGTATTGTTGTTATTTAAAATGACTTTCATTTTTTTATTTCAGCATTTTTTGATTGTTTGAACAAGCAAGCCAGCCCACTTATATATACACCAAATTCTTCTCCTCAACTTGTTCATTATGTACAGAAAGGTCTACAATGTTTAAAAGACACATGACGGTAGGCCACACTCCTTGAATTGTCTGTAGTTGTCTCTACGCTGATGATGTCAGGTCATGTTTGTGTCTTATGGTTTGTGATAAGGATGTGATGGAAGGATTGCAAGCAATCTGAAGACGATTTGGAGGATGCTAATGTTAGTGAAAGAAACAATTCAGTTAAAGTATTGCATTGGTTTAGATGAAAGTGAAAGTAAGAAATACAGGATATGAAATTGAAAGTAGTGCTTCTATAAATAGTGTCTTTAATTGTCAGTGTCTTACTAAATAAAAACTAAAATGAAAGTTATGTGTATATATATATAAGAGAAATGAACTATCATAATTTATAAACATTGTCAAACAATAAGAATGGATCTGTTAAATAAGAATTGGTTATCTGTTAGAAAATCGCAACTGTGTTCTTGAAATCAGATTTCTTGTATGAAGGACAACTCCAGCTCAAATTGTCCTGAAAGTTAGAATTTCTGAGGATTGTATAACAGATGAATAATTCTGTGAAGTGACATAATGAAAGATACCAGTTATACATGGATGGTAGCAATGGCTGTGGAGTTTGTTAATAAAACATAATCGTGCATAGTAATTTAAACAATATTTATTCTAGTGGCTTTAATACAAAATTGATTCCAAAATAATTATTTATTTTAAAAAAATTGTGTACAGTTGATCTTAAATGATCTGTGGATTTATAAGGTCTGTTAGATTTGACCTTAATTACAACAGCAACCGACCTTGACTTTATAGCTCATGACCTTGACCTTAACCCCATGCTTTTTTTTATTTTAGAGATTATTATGATCTTAGGAATGTCCATTATTTTTTTGTTTTTGTGAGTGTCTGAAACTGTATCAACTTAAATCATCTAGATTTTACTCATCTATTTCCTGTCGGAAACTTAGATAAACTTTCGTGACTCTAACTGGATGATATTCTGTTATCTAACAGCCTTTACCAGATGATAAAGTGTCTTAAAACAAAATATATATATTCAAATTCAAAGTTTAGCCAGAACCATATTGTAAATGAATTTTGAAAAGATTTTGCTCAATAGTATTACAACGTACCAGTACAAGTCAATTTTCTGACATCTTTTTGAAAAGCACCATCTTTTATGGCTTCTGAAAGCGTACCTTTTTTTCAAAAAATATTTAAGGGTGCCTTATTGTTATAAAAAATGATCTATATCTGAATACTCTTTAAAACAGAAATTATTATGATGGACAGGAATATTCTTATCATTTGTTGCCATGGTTACTTGTGTGTCAACAGTAGGAAATATGTACAACACACATTGAAACATATCAGTCTTCCATCATTGTTTCCATGGTTATCTTCCTGCCAAAGTCATAGTGGAGATTATTCAAGTATTACTTGTCAATTAGTACTAAATATTCAAGTCCACCATTTCAGTCTACCTTTTCCAGTCAATTATTTAACTATTTATTTCTTTATTTATTTTATTTAAAATGAAAGTAAATATGTTTTCAGTAAAAACTAATATTATTTATGTCTAACTTATTTTTCAAGCATCTTCAAATGAAATAGTAGTGTTCAATTTGATTTTCAATACTGATTTGAGTTTCTATAGCTCTCTAATTTATGTGTTCGTACATTGAAATAAATTAGCATTCATTTTAGTCCATTACTTAAATCTCTTACAACAGCTTACCTTTTAGCATTGTATAGGTCTAAAACATTGTATCCGTCTGACCATGATTTAATGTGCATATTTTAAAGGTTCTAAAACCATTCAGATATCTAAGATCTTTGACAATTTGTATTTTATTCCCAATCATTAAATGTGATATTTTAATCGCCCGTGTGGTCTGAGAATCATGCATAACTTGTGTAATACCTTGTATGGCAATAGTCACTATGAAAATTCAACTAGACTGCCTTTCACAATATAAGCCTAACTTGATAAGTCTCAGTTAAGTGACTCATAATGGTTAAGTGTCTTAAACACACATATTCATCTCTTTAATTTTTGATCTTTTTTTTAAAACCACAATGAATTATTTCAATATTGACAATATATGTGAAAATGTTGGGTAGCATTTTGAAAACCATTCATAAATGTAACATTTTGAATAAGATTGTATCAATTATGACTTTATGTGCTTTTAAACAATGTTCTTATGTTCTTGATATAAGATTCTTGCCTTTAAGATTGGATTGACTGTGTAAAATCTTAGTAAAAGACTTTTGAAAAGTAAAAGTCTTTGTGAAACACCCATCATTGTCTAAATGGAGTTTTCTACACAACATTGCAATACTTACTAAAATTGCATGTGCAGTTGAGTTCAAGAAAATTTAAGTAGTGTAGAAGTTCACTGTTTCCAGTCTTGCAGTTAAACCTATATAGTGATCTTAAAAGATGTAAAAATTCATTAGCTGAAATGTGATGACAATTTTTTTTTTTTTTTAGCTCATTTTGTATTTCTATTCTTAGTTAGGGATAAGTAATTGACTTTTTTGCAACAAAATCTATTCAGCTCATTTTAATGGTTTCTCTGAGTTTGAACTGCATTTTGTAATGGTGCCATTATAGAAACAGATTAATTAAACTTTATGCTTTTTAGTACAGACATGATAATGTATTTGTTTATTAAGCTAAGTTTTTGTTTAAATTGGGTTGTTATTAATTTTATATTATGGTGCCCCTGAATTAACAATAAGATAATGGTGCCGTAATCATATTAAAGTGCTATATACTCCCGGTATGCAATTTCCATGTTGTACAAATATTCCAGCAATTTCTTTGTTTTATTGAGAATTATAAATTAGGTATTGATCTGTCTTCCTTTCTCTATGTATGAATTTAGGACTTAACTTTACTCTCTGAAACAGTTGGTGCCATGGATTCAAGTTGAATTTTCTGATTCCATAGCCAATGATTTCTTCATTATTTAAAAATGTCAGAAATAAGTCATTTTTTTATAACCTGATTAATTTCCATATATTTTGCAGTATTTCTATTCTTTGAAAGTATTATTTCCCAAAATTTAAATTTGCATTCAAGTATTATAAAGAATTAATTTTTTAATTGCCATTAAGAAATATGAGCATTCTCAAAAAAAGATCTATTTTTCTAGAAAATCTATTCTTTTATGAAATAGAGATTTAAAAATTAGCCGAATTATTACAAGACTTTTTAAGATTTCAAAACCAACACTATTGTATGTGTAATTTTGTGTTAAATGTTTTTATATGGACAGACGGACTTTTACCTAAAATATGTCCAAAACTTAGGGGTAAAAGTTTAGAATTTATTAGTTGATATTGAATAGTTTTGTTTACCCGGAATTAAATGACAAGAATTACATGAGCTAAATGATTATATTTTAAGACTGGACAAATTGTGACTATGTTAAAGACTCATTGCAAGTGACTATATTTATGTATAAATTAAGTGCATTATTCTATGTGTATGTATTCTGCCCTATTCTCCATTTCTGGACTTGTTTTTGTTGACAAGTTGTCTCTGATCTATTATTATTATTATATGAAAACATTGTAAATAGTTATTGTATGTTATCATTGCATTTTATCAAGAATGAAATTAAGCAATTTATCTACTTTGTTTTATTATTGTATTCCTGTTAGGGGGCTACTGTAGTCTATAAAGCAGTGCTTAATTAACCTTAGTCTACAAGAACACCGAACTGACAATGAGATGACTTAGTTTATAAAATTGATGTTTGCTGGATAATTAAGTGCTATAGTGTTATATTCCCATCTAATATTAACAAGAGAAGGAAAATTCTGATACCCTAACTGACATAATCAATTATACCATATCACCCAATTTTTAGGTGAACATGTAGCCGCACTATTTAGTTTAATAGACATATATCTTATAGTGTAATATTCAAAGCACCCTTATGTGAGCAGAATCTATGATTAGTACTTGAACTTGTGGAGGATTTCCCTTCACAAGCGAATGTTTTTAATTCTTTACTACATCTAATAAGACAACAGGTCAAGTTGTGAGGCATCAAAGAACGGAATTTATAAAAGTTGAGTGAAATGGTGCAGTAATAAAGCAATGAAAAATACCCAAAGTAGGGGAAGGTTAGAGAATTTATCATTCATAAACAAAACAAATTTTTCAGAAATCATATTTTCACAAATGTTTATAGTATAAATCATATAATATAGGTGGTAAATCAGAAACTTCTCACTACAAAACTCAGATTTAATTTTCCTTTGAACAATTCACAATGTAGCAACATTCTTAACCCTCAGAGATTGTTCCATGAGACACAAATGTGAGAAAACTTATTAGAGTTTATTATAAAACTTTTTAAGAATCAAGCTTTGTTTTCTCTGCAAATTGTTGACTCAATAACTGCATTATTTCTTTATGTTTGAAATCAGAGTTAGTCTTCTTGGCACTGCCATAATTCTCTTTCACAAATAAAGCAAATTTATTTGGTGTGCGTGGCGTTCCTTCCTTGGATCCTGGAGTTCCCATCAATTCAAATCGTCCATGACAGTGTCCACAAACTTTCTTAGTCGTATCCAGAGACTTTGAATGACGGCCAATTCTGGAAAAAAAGGTAAGTTTTACTCTGTGGTATAGTATTCATTTGAAAGATATGATGGAAAAAAATTGATGTGCTTTGCAGATTGTTTTCCCTGTCTCACTATCAATATGGTGATATCTTTTATACAGTAATTAATTTGCACCGTTTCAATCATCCATTGAAAGTTCTTTTAATTTACAGGCACCACAGAAAAAGAGCAGAAATAGCGATGGTGCAAATAAAAGCTAATAGTGTCCCTGATAAATACTGGGAAGAATAGTTATTGAAACCCTTCAAATATAGCTATATAATAAATAACTTACTGATATCCACACTGTGTACATGTATAAGTATATTTAGTAGATATACTGTAATTATGACATCTACTTATAATTGGTAATTCTGGGTGACTTAAATTTGATTTTCTGGCCCTAAAACAATACACAACAATTATAATGCTATTTGGTCAATCATGAAGCCAGCAAGAAGGTCTAATCTCTGACTACAGTGAGTTCAGAATTGAATATGTTCATATTTTTCAGGTATTATTTCAAAATTTCAAATGCTTGCAATGTCCTCAGGTCCATATGGATATATTTCCACTCTCACTGTATTTGTCACAGTGAACCTTTTGACAAGAAATGCATTCAAATTGACGTAAACTGCAGTGGGTCACATAGTCACATCCCTGAGCGCGTAGGAATACAATAACACGACCTACTTTTCTTACATTTGTTAAAATGATGTCAAAATTTATTTATTATGATTATAATAATAAAAAAGAAAACCAAAAAACAAATAGTTAATTTTTAAGAAATTGCCGTCCTTTACTCTGAAGCGGGTGTTTGGGACAATTTTTCATAGCGTATGACTAAACTAAACGCGCAATATGGCTGCTGTGGAGGCCTTATTTTTGTAATGGCAATCTTTTTGAAATATAATTTATCAATCGGACAGTGGAAATATAAGCACAATTTGGCACCTTGCCCAATGTATTCATATCACCGTAACTGCAGTGGGTCCATCGTTCATTGCTTAAATAACTGTTGTTGATGTTACATTTGAAATGAAAAAATATCCATCTGGACCTAAACCTTTAGGACCTGAAACAAGTGGTTGCCTAGCAAGATACGTCCACTTTCCTCATACATTTTCAGTGTATCAAGGGCAGTCACCTATCTGTGTCATACCAAAAATCTAATTTGTGCAAGATATTGTTGATTTAAACACATAATTTAATAAATTTCTGACATAAACTGTCACCGCCAACAAATTTTGATGAGTTTTTACTGAGTCAAGGGCAATAACTCAAATTCTGTTGATCAAAAAATTCTCAAATTCAATCTTGACTAAGATCTCATCATTATAAATAATCATACCAAATTTCATTTAAATCGCATGAAAACTATACTCTCTATTGTGTTCACAAACAAATTTTGGTGCGTTTTTCATAAATCAAGGGCAATAACTCAAAAACCTTTCATCGAAATATAGCCAACTTCAGACTTGACCAACTTGTCCAAGATCTCATCAATATAAATGATCACACCAAATTTTATTCAAATCAGATGAAAACTATAGTCTCTATCGCGTTCACAAGCCAATTCTGACGCGTTTTGGCTAAGTCAAGGGCAATAACTCAAAAACCGTTCATAGAAAAATAGTGAGTATCGAACTTGTCAAAGATCTCATTAATATAAATGAACACACCAAATTTCATTCGAATCAGATGAAAACTGTAGTCTCTATCGCGTTCACAAGCCAATTGTGGACAGACGTACGGAAGGACATGGGTGAAGAAAATATACGTCCACATTATAATGTGGGTGTATAATAAAACGAATCACCTACCAGTATTTCCAGTAAGGACCATGTCCGTCTGTTCTTTGATTTAACATCCACACAGCAGCATGACATAATTCATGTATTAAGGTATCTCGTACTCTTTCTGAAAAAATAATGTTATTATCACAGAATAGAAAAATAACCAATAAATATATTGCTACGATTCTCTTCTAATCAAAAGACTATCTGCATCAACAAAACTTGGCATTAGGAAACCCTTGATAAGGACTTCGATTCATTATCATAAAATTTCAAATATTCATCTTAATGAAATCAATGGTTAACTACCAAAAGGAATATAAAAACTGAACAAACCTGCATTATCACAGACTTTAGTAGAAAGTTCAATTCTAGCAACATGTTTACCATGGCAACGCTTATAGGCACAATAACCTGCTGTTCTTAATAACCTTTTATTCCATGTGATACTCATATCTTCTGGTAGCTAGATAGACAGAAAAAATAATCAATGAATTCAGCTTTTTTACAGCTGAAATAGAAAAACTCCTTTTTGTGATCCCTAACTATCTAGAGGCTGACAGTAGTGCTTGGTTTGTTGAAAAGGACATAAATGTCTAATTCTGACAGGTAAAGGATGTAGCTATGACACAGGTGAAATATTTTAACTATTTTCCGGATGTGAGATGGAAATTTTCCATGGCCATTATCCGCAATTGTATATGTAAACTTGAGGATAATTCAATACATGGGAAATAACCACACTTTCCTGATAAATGTAGATCTGTTAGCCTCCTGTCAAACATTTCACTTACCTAATTAAAAAAAAACTGAATTTATTATAGCAAAACTAACTGCATTAGTATAAAAATTAGGTTGAGAAATAGCTCATGACAAAATTGATCAGCAGATATTTTTTTTGTAAAACTAGGTACTTACCTTTTTTTCGAAGATTGTTTCATTATAAAGTTTAAATAATCTAGATGTTAATTCTTCATAATTCTTCTTAAATTGTTTAATATATCTAAAAAATATAAAGCTACAATACTCATCAAAATTACCTAAACCGGGTTTACAATCCCTGACCCTTTTGATTTTACAAAGTCTCCCACAAATGTCCAACTACCAGATACTGGGATTGCTCTGTGACCTAGGCCAGTGCTTTCATTAAGATTCTTTATACATACTAGATGGGACTAGAAACTTACTTGATGGACTCAGGATGACGTCTGCTCTCATCTAATTCTGTTGTCAATGATTTTATAAAACTACATTTATTATGTTTATCATGTCCTGTAGGTTTATCAGAAAAACTTACTTTAGGTGTTGTTAAAACTTTAGGTCTTTGTGGAGGTTTAAATAACTCTTAAAAAAAAAATTAATTAATTAGCATATATATCTTAACATTTCTGAGAATTGAGTTTAAAATCCTACTTTTTCTGCAATTTATTCAGCTCATGAAGCATTCAAAATGCTTGAAAACAAATTCAAAATGATCAGCATATAATTCATAGTAGGCTTTTGGAAGATGGTGTTGAAATGGACTTGAATTTCTCAGACTTGTCTTGATAAGGCAAATTGGCTGAAGTCCAATCGCCACAGCATGATCTAAAACCAAAACAAACCTGTACTTGTTGTAGAGTAGGGTCTTGTTGCAGCATGAGATATATGCGGCGTTCTAAATGTAGTGGTATGTGTTGAAGGTGTTTTTAGTTGATCAGTATGAGGAGAAGAGAGTAGAGTGGAGGTAGGTGTCTTCAATCTATGTGGTTTATTGACATCAACTACTGATGGTGAATATCTCTTAGAAACAGGACTGAAAGAAACAAACAAAAAATTAATGTCTGTTATAATAAAACTTTTAATTCCAAAATATACCAAACAAAGAAAATTGAAATTTGCTTGATTGGGTTTCATTGTGCTAGGGATTGAAAGCCAACATCGAGACATACTGGTTCTGCATTTCATTTTTGTTCTTCCCTGAATGCTGCTTTTGTTATAGTAAGTTATATTTTCAATATGAAATCTAGCAGTCTTAAAAATCTCAATCTACACCAACCTGACTATAGTACAGCCTCTATTTTTAGGTGATTGAATTGAGATAAATATTTCTTCTTCCAATTCTGAATCTGATCCATCAGTTATAATTTCATCATCATCCACAATAAAATCACTTAAACTAAAAAATAAAATATTAAAATATAACATGAAACTTCCCATTATTTGCTACTGATTGAACAAATCCAAAACTGTATGCAGGGAGGGAAATATTTTCAGGACAGTAACAATTAAGTCTGAAGTGAAATTCACAAAGAACACAAGTTATTCACTATGTACTAACACACATGCATCACATGACATATTGACAAAATTCAACTTAATGCTTTGTTGTTTGACTGCTGACAAGTTGCCAAAAGTAGGACGTAAAACTCCCATTTCATTCCATTTCTATTTGCCATGGTTCTTTATGAAATGAATTAAGATGTTATGTTCAAAAAGTGTAAAAATATCTAACCTCTTTTCTAATACTTCCGTTACTGGTTTAACTTGTGGTTTGACTGATTCTAAAACTGAAAAATATATAAAGAAAATAAATGTCTTGATACAGGAAGCAGTGAACCTAAAACTTCACCAGAACATTGATAAAATTTAAAAGTTGCACTGATCTTTATTATGTGATACACTATAGGTGTTTTCGTTTAAGCAAATTCTATTGACACAGATCAAAGAGTGTATTAATATAAGAGAAGTGCCTACAATGATTTGCCTACAATACACAATTATTTGAGTGATTTGCCAAAGCGCTTATCCAATTTGACCAAATCATGGCTAGCAGCACTTTGAAGATTGAAAATGGCGGCCAACATTGATAACAAGTAAAAACATTTCAAGATCTATTCGTCCTAAGAGTATATAAATAAAGACAAAAATTCATTTTTACTGTTTGAAATTTTTAACAATAAAGAGAAAGATCTAAAGAAAATTGTATTCCATTAACAAATTAACTTAATTATTGAGAAGTAAACAAGACATGCAACTTGGCCAGCGGTCATTTATTCAAGACGGTTTAATTTTCATCATTCTCTGATAAGTGGCCATCAAAGCGAGTTGATAAGCTTAAATAAAAATTCCTTATGTTACTATGAGCCCATATAAAAAAAACTAAAGTACAGCCCAGTACAGTAATCTTACTTACATTGATCAAAATCATCATCACTAGACTCACTAATTGTCCTTGATGACCTGAAAATTAATTACATATAAACATAAAAATGACACAGAGTACTCTGTTAATTCCGACATAGGAGTATAACAACAGTTATTCGACATTTTGTCTCATATCCCAACAGATCAGATAACAGCACAATCTTTAAACTATCAGTGCCAAAGATGGATTTCATTATGGCAACTCCTTAACCATTAGAAACAGTTACACCCATTTCTAGAGTCAAGTTTATTTAATAGCTCTACAGGTTTTGAGATGTATTTAAATAATAATTTATCAATTTTACTTAGAATGGATATTAAGGAATCTGAAAATTACATTGCATGGTCGTAAAAATTCATTGATGTCAAGTTGCAAATCACTCAAATTTTTCAATAATTAAAAAGATGACTATTCAACTATTTTCTACCTTGTTGATTTGGTCAGCTTGTGTAAGACTTATTAAATGCAATAGGTATATACAAACCTCCAACTAGAAGATGGCTGTTCTTTAATAACTTTATATCTATCTAAATTTAAACCTGTCACACAATCATCAGAATCACTCAAATCTGCTTCAGCCTGTGACTTCGGTGTAAAATATTTACTTTGATTCGCATCAGAAGTAATGGATTTCTTCCCTGGTTTGGGGGTGAAATATTTACTCTTTGTCACTTCTGGTGTCAGCATCTCCTCTTCAGAATCAGATGATGAAAATAAAGCTTTCATTTTTGCCACTTTCCTATCACTGGTTGTGTGTTTGGTTGCTGAAGCCGGTTTAGGTTTGGCTGCTGAACTTGGTTTTGGTTTGGTTGCTGAACCTGGTTTAGGTTTTGAAGTTGAACTTTGTTTAAGTTTGATTACTGAGTTGGTTCTGGGTGATGGACTATAAACTGGTGAATTTTGAGGGGAGGGTATCTTAATATTTGGGGAGGGAGTTGACATGCTCTCTAGAGCAGGTGCTGTTATTGAGCTTTCATGTGTATCAGATGAGATTTTTGTTGGCGAATTCTTAGTTAAAAAATAATCAGTACCTGGAAATGAGTTTGAGGCCATCTCTGATGAAGTTTTAGAAGGTTTTGAAGAAGCAGTAATACTGATATCAGAAAACAAAGCACTTTCATCTTCAGAAAGTAAAGGTGGAGTTCTTTCTTCTTTTGGAGAATCTTGTATAATTTCACTGGAATCCTGTTCATTTTTGAAAGAACTGAAATCATTTTCTGTTACAATATCACCCTCACTGACCAGAGATTTGATACTTTGTTCATCTTCTTTAGAGTCCATAGGGTCGTCATCATATACTTTTTCATTTTCAGAAACATCATCAACAACTCTCAAAGAATCCACAATTGGAATATTTGAAACTCTGAGAATAGATTTTGAATCAGGAATTGTTAATAGTTTCGTTTCCAACTTCTGTGATAATTTCGGCATCATTTCTGAATAGCTTTCAACAGCATTGGACTGACAGATAGATTTTTCTAAAGGTGTCATATTCAGTCGAGATTTGACACTAGATCGAGATAGGGTATCATTAAGGGATGGGCACAGAAAGGATTCATTTCCAGGAGTATAAAGTTTGTGTTTTTTACGTAAAGTTGAGGGTGTGGTTTTGACAGGTGTAAAATCACTCCCTGATTCTGAATCAGAAAAATCAATAGTGTTTTTCATTATTTTACTTTTTAATGATTTTGTTTTAGGTTTGGGTTTCACTTTTGGTTTCCTTCTGGATTTTGATGATGATGGAAGTTGAGGAATAGGTATTTCCTCTGGTGTTACAGAAACCACTTCTGGTATAGAATAGTGGGTATCCATTCTCAGGACAAGCTGTGATTCTTCTATAATGGAAGGGGTTAGACTCGATTGTCCACTCTTTTCTGGTTCTTGACTTTGAGAAGTGAATTTCTGAGCATTTTCAGAATGTTCGGAAATAACTACACTTTCTTCAAATTGTTTGCAAAGGTTTTCATCAGACTGGATAACAGGTTCTGTCTGGATACTCACGTCTTTCACCTCGTACAATGAACCTTCTTCACTTGATATTGATTCATTTGCAGCATGATCATTTTCATTTTTATGCATCAAACTCTTTCCAGTTTGAGTTGCTGTATTTGTGACAGTATAGTAATCATTCTGAGATTCCACTGCAGTGGTGAATAGATCAGAATTTCTTTTCTTTTCTGTCTTATTCTCATGCTTAATTTGTAGATTTTCATACGAGTCATTCTCACCAGTTTCTTCATTGATACTTAAACCAAACACATCGATAGATTGACGACTGTAGATTCTAGTTGATTCTACTAGTGGAACACCAACATCTTCTAGTATTGAGAACATGTCAGCATCATCCTGTCCTGCTATCACTGACATATTGTACAGCTTTTGACACTGGCTTGATTGTCCATTATTCTTCTCTTGAGAATTTTCACTCTGCCTGAGCGCTTCATTTCCAGTTTGAGACTCTTTTGGCATTTCGATCAAATTCAGTCCAGAAGTTTTACTTGAAAGTCCTTGGGTAGACTTGGGATTCTGGTTAATTGCTTTGCTTGATGATTTTGATGACTGTGGTGGTTTTTGACTGTTTTGAGATAAAGGGCTTGTTGGAACTGTATTATAAACTTCCTGTGATGAGTTTTCTTGTGTAAGATCTATACTAGCTGGACTCTTCCTTAGTGGTATTTCTTTATATTCCTTATTTGATTTTAGTGGAATCTCTTTCAATCTAGATTCTTTTGATTGCTCCCTAGAATCAGCTGCAAAAATATATCAAAGACGGTTTTAAACAAATGACATAATGATATACAAACTAAGATGTACA